TTATTTTATTTTATTTCTATACCGCTCTTCTCCCGAAGGACTCAGGGCGGTGTACAGCCTAATTAAAAACACACAGACAGACAAAATTTAAAAATAATTAAAATGATTAAATAAGAGGCCCAATTTATAAAACCCCAAATTTAAAATACCACTTAAAACCAATTAAAATCTTTACATTGACAGCCCAGCCTGGCGGAACCACATGGTTTTGAGGGAATTCCCATTCCCTCCCCGCTCCTGGGGGAAGGATACTGCAAAATCTCTATTCTCTCCCCACTCCAGGGGAAAGATACTGTAAAATCCCCATCCTACCCCACTCCAGGGGAAGAATATTGCAATATCCCCATTCCCTCCCCACTCCAGGGGAAGGATACTGCAAAATCCCCATTCCCTCCCCACTCCTGGGGCCAGCCAGAGGTGGTATTTGCCGCTTCTCCGAACTACTCAAAATTTCCGCTACCAGTTCGCCAGAACCTGTCAGAACCTGCTGGATTTCACCCCTGCCCCAAACACCCCCACACACCCTATCCACCACAAATTCCCCACCCCTAAACCACCCAAACATCCACCCAATGAAATCTAGCCGCTCAGGGAAAGCTAACACCCTGAGGCTCTTATCTTTCTCAAAGCAAGGATGAAAAAAAAAACCTGGCAGAGTTAAGCTGCGTTTACCAGCAGAATGGCGATCTTTTTTTGCGGGCATACAGTCTGAACAATCGAGAAAGTTGTTTTTTTTTTAAAAAACCTCGTTTTACTGACTTTACGCACTGATGTTTGATGAGCAGAAAATAAAACGAGGTATGGTTCTGAGTTTTCATTTTGAATTGAATCGATTTATCCCCGGGATGCTCGAGAATGAATGAAAAAGGAAGAGAGTAATTCACGGGAAACCGTAATTCAGTGAGAACGGATGGACTGAAAGGCATAGCAGGAAAGGAAAAAGCAAGGGGAGGGAGAAGGAATGAGATGCTCCCCGACGAAGAACCATCTTTATGAGATGGTATTGATGGCGTCATTATTATTATTATTATTATTATTATTATTATTATTATTATTATTATTATTTAATCTTTGGTGAGATTCGCAGCCTTTGAGGCTGGTTAATAGCTCAGCAGCTCGAGTCCTAACCAAGGACCTAGGAACTGTTAAGGTATCGTCGGAGGACGTAAGCTGTTCCGAGTAAGGTGGTTTTTTGTAGAGTCAAAATGTTCAAGTCCGGCAAATTTAGAATTTATAAATAGCAGGGTAGCCCTTGGGGTATTGCTCCGAGGGCTCCAATTACAATCGGGACAACACACAACACACTTTTTCCACAGTCGCTCAACTTCAATTTGCAAGTCCCGGTACTTTGTGATTTTCCTCCTCCTCCTCCTCCTCCTCCTCCTCCTCCTCCTTCTTCTTCTTTCATGGACGTAAGTTTTGTATCCTTTTTTTCTTCCTTTTTCTGATTGTGAAAATCAGAAGACTGGAATATTTTCCTCTCTCTCTCTCTCTCTCTCCGCTTCTGCAGGAATTGAGTACAATTTGCTGCGTTGGCCCATTGGCTGCTCCGACTTTTCCACGCGGCCGTACACTTACGATGACCGCTGCGTGAATGACTTCGAACTGAAGTGTTTTGAACTGGCCCCCGAAGACACCAAACTTAGGGTGAGTTCGGCACACCAAATAGAGTTGTGGGGTCCTGGGTGCTCTGTGAGCCTGGTGGTTTTCTCGCGCAAACGTTTCATGACCCAACTAGCTAACATCATCAGTGCTAGAAGGAGGTGGCGTTTGGGAGGAAGAGGAGGAGGAGGAAAGGGAGGAAGAGAAGAGGAAGGGGAAGGGGAGGAGGAAAACTGTGGGATCCTTAGTGCTCTCTAAGCTTGGTGGTTTCCTTGAAGACGTTCCATTACCCAACTAAGTAATAACATCAGTGTTAGAAGGGCGAGGGGTTCAGGGAGTAAAGGAGAAGGGGGAGGAGGAAGGGGAGGGGGAGGAAGGGGAAGGAGGTTGCTTGCCTAACAACCGCTGGGAAAAATGTTGATGTCAGCGTTTCAACGCTGGCATAGAGAGCAGAGGAGAGCGAGAGATAAACTCTGAAACTTTTGCCTGCTAAATCCCTTTGAAGTCGGGTTGTCGTGGAAATGAGGGGAGGGGGCACATTCCTGGGAAATGACGAGGAAAAGAAGTCTGAAGAATGACTTGGAAGGCAGCCAATGAGAAGCAGAGATTTGGGGATCGGAAAGGGAGGGATTGGGGGGGCAAAAGGTCAGTCTTGTCCGCGTGGAGTCATGATCCGGTGGCTGTGCTCAATTAAAGAAAGATTTCCTTAAAGATTGGCAGTTTGGAAATTCATTTAATTTTGAGATAGCATCGCAGTCTGACAGTTGATCAGTTGGGTTGGTAACCATTTTATGCCTGCTACAGCTTAACAACCGTAATGGGCAGGCTCCATGGCGGTCATAACTGGAGGACTGCCTGCAGAGCTCCGGGATTAACACGGACAAAGTCAACAAACCCACAAGGAGATCGTGTGAATGGTCTTGTGGACCATCAATCAGGCCATCCCCGGAGACAGTTGTTGTCTCTCTCCACAGATCCCCCTTCTCCATCGTATCATGGCCCTCACCGGGAGACCCCTCTCACTGGTCAGCAGCCCTTGGACCAGTCCTGCCTGGCTAAGGGTCAACAACAAGGTTTATGGCAAATCCAGGATAAAGGGAGAACCAGGCGATCGCTACCACAAGGCCTGGGCTCGTTATTTTATCAGGTAATAAATAACTTTTTCAATCTCGTCTGCTTTAGGAACTGCTTCTTAAACTTTGAATTTAGCAGGCTCCTCCCCTAGCCAAGTCCCGCCCACTTTGTGGCTCCGCCCTTTCTCAAACTCCTCCCCGAATCGTGATCTGGCCTCACCCACCGACAGACGTTTTTGAAAATCCCTGTGGATAGAGATTAAAAAAATCAGTGGGACAATATGCACGGAGAAGTTTAGTCCCTTCTCTGTCTCCACACCCTACTCTGGAGAAGGATGGGGATATTTCCAAGGTGATCCTATCGCTGTCAGCGTTCCAGCGCTGACATATGAAAGGAGAGGAGAAGCTTGAATTTTTGCCTACTTAATTCCTTTGAAGATTCTGTTTCCTCGGAGATGGGAGGAGGGGGGGGACATTCCTGTGATCTGACGGAGATGGGATGAGGAGAATGGCTTGGAAGATAGCCAATGAGACGCAGAGAATTGGGGATCGGAAAGGGAGGGATTCGGGGGCAAAGGTCAATGCTGACCGCGAAAGAGCCAGGGACAGATCACTATGCTCAATAAAGAGAAAATTTCCTCAAAGATCGGCAGTTTGGAAATTCATTTATTTTGAGATAGCATCGAAACTTGACAATCGCATTTTTACAACATTATTCTGATTTTTTGAATTTAGGTTCTTTGAGGAGTACGCCAAATACAATATTACTTTCTGGGCATTCAGCTCTCAGAACGAACCCATCACGGCCCTTTTCATAAGTCGGGAAGATTTTCCTTGCAATTATTTCTCGCCGCAACATCAGCGCGACTTTATCATTCAAGATTTGGGGCCCGCCCTTGCCGCCAGCCCTCACGCCGACGTCCGCCTGATGATCCTTGATGACGGGAGGTGTCACTTGCCGAACTGGGCTGACCAGGTGGGTTCCCAAAAATTCGGGAAGGCCAGAAACCGGCCTGTTTCCGGCCACCAGAGGGCCTTCAGAGCCTGGTGAGGCTCCTGGAAGCTTGAGGATAGCCTCCGGAGCCTGGGGAGGGCAAAAAAATCCCCCTCCATCATGGTGCAGGAGGCCGACCTAGGCCATGCCCACCATGGCCATGCCCACCCAGCAACCGGGCAGAGAACCCCTTGCTAAAATTTTTGAAACCCACCCCTCGACGTATCTACACTACGACGGGGGAAATCCTTGACTTACCACCATGTGTTTAGTGACAGATGGCATTGAAAAAGAGTGACTTAGGATCGTTATTCCCAGGTAGCAACTGTGGCAGTATTCCCTATGGTCATGTGATCAAAATTCAGAAGCTTGGCAACTGACCGGTACTTAGGATAGTTGTAGCGTCCTTGGCCGACCTTGCCGAAGTCCACGGGGAATCCAGATTCACTTAACAACCGTGTGACTCAGTCTTTCAACTGCGCCGATTCGCGTCTACAGGACGGTGAGGAAGGGGCAACGTTCACTTCACCCATGTTTCACTTAGCAACGGACGTTTGGGGCTCAACTGTGGTCGTACGTCGAGGATGACCTTGTACATGCTGGTTGCCAATTTTGATCGCGTGACTGTGGGGGAAGGTGCAACGGTCGTAGGTGTGAACCACGGTCATCGTTCGATTTCTTTTTCCCCCAGCACTGTTGTAACTTTGAACAAGTTTGAAAGTAACTTGTAACTTTAAACGGGCTGTTGTAAGTCGAGGACTGCCTGGATTGAAGCTCCTTTTCCTTCCCTCTGTACCCTGACAGGTGATTGGCAATAGTACGGCGGCGGCCTTCGTATCCGGCATTGGCATCCATTGGTATTTTGACTCGGTCACCCCAGCTGGACTTACTCTGGACGTTACTCATCACCTGTACCCCGATTTCTTCCTGCTCTACACCGAAGCTTGCAATGGTTATCTGGACTGGGACGTGAAGGTTATACTGGGAAGCTGGGAGAGAGGCACCTATTACAGCAGCAACATCCTGACGGTAAGGGGACCCCCTTGCTACGACCAAAAATTCGTAGCCCTTCGACGATAAGAAGGGCAGGAATGGACGTCAAAACGTCCTCGCAGTTTCTGGTTCTTCAAAAGGGTGTTGTAGAATCTTTGGGAAGCTGAGCCAGTACACTAAAACTCTGCTTTAGGGAGGGGTGGGCTTGAGGATAACAGAATAACAGAGCGGGAAGGGACCTTGGAGGTCTTTTAGTCCAACCCCCTCCTCAAGAAGGCAGGTGGGAGGGAGGAAAAGATATCTTGGAAGTCTTCTATCCAAACCCCTGCGGAAGGAAGGAAGGAAGGAAGGAAGGAAGGAAGGAAGGAAGGAAGGAAGGAAGGAAGGAAGGAAGGATAACACAGTTGGAAGGTCTTCTTGTCCAATCCCCTGCGGAAGGAAGGAAGGAAGGAAGGAAGGATGGAAGGAAGGAAGGAAGGAAGGAAGGAAGGAAGGAAGGAAGGAAGGATAACACAGTTGAAAGGTCTTCTTGTCCAATCCTCTGCAGAAGGAAGGAAGGAAGGAAGGAAGGAAAAGGAAGGAAGGAAGGAAAAGGAAGGAAGGAAGGAAAAGGAAGGAAGGAAGGAAAAGGAAGGAAGGAAGGAAGGAAAAGGAAGGAAGGAAGGAAGGAAGGATAACACAGTTGAAAGGTCTTGTCCATTGCCCTGCGGAAGGAAGGAAGGAAGGAAGGAACGAAGGAAGGAAGGAAGGAAGGAAGGAAGGAAGGAAGGATAACACAGTTGGAAGGTCTTCTTGTCCAATCGTCTATGTTTCTGAAATATGTGACATTGTTCTCTTGTTTCTGGTGTTTGTTTGTTTGTTTCTTTTTCTTTCTTTCTTTCTTTCTTTCTTTCTTTCTTTCTTTCTTTCTTTCTTTCTTTCTTTGATTCATTCATTCATTCATTCAATTTATATAGCGTTGGCCTTGTCCCCACTTGTCTTTCTGATCAGGACAATGGGAGTGGACGATTCTTGGGGTGAAGAGGAAGACTCCTCAGGACACAATTACTACAACAGCATCCCCGGGAAGCAGCCCCCCTTGGCGGTTGGTGGACTCGCGCTCCATTATGGATCAGCTTCCAGCCACACTCTCTCTCTGGGTTCCTACGCCACCCATTTCAGCCAGGTGACCCCCCCCAAACTCCTTGGCAGGTTCAGCAGGTGTATCCAAGCCTGTTTAGCTCAACTAAAGGGCATCGTCATTTGTTCCGTAACCACGATCTCTTCAGAGGTGGGTTTCAGCAGGTTCTGGGCAGTTCTGGAGAACCGGTAGCGGAAATTTTGAGTAGTTCGGAGAACCAGTAAATACCACCTCTGACTGGACCGCCCCCATCTATTCTCTGCCTCCCAAGTTCCAGCTGATCGGGAGGAAATGGGGATTTTGCAGTATCCTTCCCCCGGAGGGGTGGGAATGGAGATTTTACAGTATCCTTCCCCTGCCCGCCCACCAAGCCAGGCCACACCCACCAAGCCACACCCCACAAAGCCAGGTAAAAAAAAGCACACACTGGAACCGGTCTATTCCATTCCAATCCACCACCCCATCCCATCCCATCCCATCCCATCCCATCCCACCCCTTTGTGATGAAAGAAGAAACTGATGCCAGAATCTGGCGGATGTTCTGTATAATTTAGGAAATTAGCTGTTTTTAAAAAACCTCTTTTTCTGCAGTCCAAAGGTGCCACCTTCCTTTGTTAATCAGATATTGGATAGGTGTATTTTTTTTATTTAAATCTTTTTCTTCTACAGAAAACTATCCTGTGGCAAAGGACTTCAGGTAGTCCTTGATTTACGACTGCAATTGAGCACTTTTTAACTTTCATTGTATTGTAAGCTGCCCAGAGTCTCTGTACAGGTAATCCTTGACTTATGACCATAACTGAGCCCAACTTTTCTGCTGCTAAGCAAGACCATTGTTAAGAAGGTTTCGCCCATTTTACAGACCGTTCTTTTCACAAATGGTTAGATGAAACCTTGCAGTTGTTAAATAGTAATAAAAATTGTTAAGTGAATCTGGCTCCCCCATTGACTTGGCCTGTCCGAAGGTCACAAAAGGGGATCACATGATTCTAGAACACTGCCACCGTCATAAATATGAGCCAATTTCCCAGCCCTTGAATTTCAATCACATGCTGCAATGGTCATAAGCGTGAAAAATGGTCGTAAATCCCTTTTTTCAGTCCCTGTTGTAACTTCGGTCACTAAACGAATGGTTGTATGTCAGGGGCTACCAGTAATTTTTTTTTTTTAATTTGATTTATATGCCGCCCTTCTCCGAGACTCAGGGCGGCTTACAATGCGTTAAGCAATAGCCTTCATACTTTTGTATATTTATACAAAGTCAGCTTATTGCCCCCACAAACTGGGATCCTCATTTACCTACCTTAGAAAGGATGGAAGGCTGAGTCAACCTTGAGCTTGGAGAGATTCGAACAGCAGTAATTGCAGGCAGCTGTGTTAATAACAGGGTGCTTAGACCATTGTGCTATCAAGGCTCTAACCAATTGAAGAAATTGGTTGTCTTAAAATCTCCTTTTCTGCAATCCAAAGGTGCCCCCCCCCCAATGAATCAAACATTAGATGTGTTGCTTTTTTATTTCAATCTTTTTCTTCAGCAGGAAAAAAAAATCCAAGACAAAAGACTAATTTAAAAAAACACTATCACGATAGGAGACTGACGTTCGGAATGGGATGCCGATTAGAATACCTTGCCTTGTAAAGAATGCCATTCTTGCAGGGAGGACTACAACTTTCATCCTCCCAGGGAATAGGGAAGCAATGGATATTGTAGTCCATCCCTAGAGGGGAACCCCCAAATTGGAGAGGCTGGTCAAGAACAATTTTTAGAATAGAATAAGAATAGAATTTTTTATTGGCCAAGTGTGATTGGACACCCAAGGAATTTGTCTTGGTGCATTGCTCTCAGTGTACATAAAAGAAAAGATACATTCATCAAGAATCATAAGGTACAACACTATTGTAGTCATAGGGTACAAATAAGCAATCAGGAAACAATATCAATTATAAATCGTAAGGTTACAGCAACATAATCATCTGGATTTGAACCGATTTCTGCCCTAGAGGTCACCTAAGGACAGTGGGGCTAACCAATTTTTGCCATTGTATAGATCCTTCGGTGAAACGAATCGGCAGGAGCCTCTGGCTAGGGGATGGTCCTGAGCATGCATTGCATTAAGAAACATGAGTATTCATGTTTCTTTAATGCTCTGCCTGTCCTCAGGAGCCAATCCCCTAGCAGAGGCTCCTGCCGAGTTCGGATTTCCACGAAAAAGGATCTTATCACAAGGGCAAATAATTGGTTAGCCCACTGTCCTTAGGTGACTCTAGGGCAGAAATCGGTTCATAATCCAGATGACTATGTTGCTTGTATCCTTACGATTTATATTGATATTGTTTCCTGATTGCTTATTTGTACCTATGACTATCATTAGGTGTTGTACCTTATGATTCTTGATGAATGTATCTTTTCTTTTATGTACACTGAGAGCATATGCACCAGACAAATTCCTTGGGTGTCCAATCACACTTGGCCAATAAAAAATTCTATTCTTATTCTATTCTAAAAATTGTTCTTGACCAGCCTCTCCCAATTTGGGGTTCCCTCTAGGGATGGATACAATATCCATTGCTTCCCTATTGCCTGGGGAGGATGAAAGTTGTAGTCCTCCCTGCAAGAATGGCATTCTTTCAAGGCAAGGTATTCTAATCGGCAATCCCATTCTGAACGTCAGTCTCCTATCGTGATAGTGTTATTTTTAATATTAGTCTTTTGTCTTTGGATTTTTTTTTCCTGCTGAAGAAAAGATTGAAATAAAAAGCAGACAATCTAATGTTTGATTCATTGGGGGGGGGGGCACTTTGGATTGCAGAAAGGAGATTTTAAGGACAACCAATTTCTTCAATTGGTTAGAGCCTTGATAGCACAATGGTTAAGCACCCTGTTATTAACACAGCTGCCTGCAATTACTGCTGGTTCGAATCTCTCAAGGCTCAAGGTTGACTCAGCCTTCCATCCTTTCTAAGGTAGGTGAAATTGAGGACCCAGTTTGTGGGGGCATAAGCTGACTTTGTATAAATATACAAAAGTATGAAGGCTATTGCTTAACGCATTGTAAGCCGCCTGAGTCTCCAGAGAAGGGCGGCATATTAAATCAAATTAAAAAAAAAAATTACTGGTAGCCCTTGACATACAACATTCGTTTAGTGACCGAAGTTACAACAGGGACTGAAAAAAGGGATTTACGGCATTTTTCACGCTTATGACCATTGCAGCATGTGATTGAATTCAAGGGCTGGGAAATTGGCTATATTTATGACGGTGGCAGTGTTCTAGAATCATGTGATCCCCTTTTGTGACCTTCGGACAGGCCAAGTCAATGGGGGAGCCAGATTCACTTAACAATTTTATTACTATTTAAAACTGCAAGGTTTCATCTAACCATTTGTGAAAAGAACGGTCTGTAAAATGGGGCGAAACCTTCTTAACAATGGTCTTGCTTAGCAGCAGAAAAGTTGGGCTCAGTTATGGTCATAAGTCAAGGATTACCTGTACAGAGACTCTGGGCAGCTTACAATACAATGAAAGTTAAAAAAGTGCTCAATTGCAGTCGTAAATCAAGGACTACCTGAAGTCCTTTGCCACAGGATAGTTTTCTGTAGAGAAAAAGATTTAAATAAAAAAAATACACCTATCCAATATCTGATTAACAAAGGAAGGTGGCACCTTTGGACTGCAGAAAAAGAGGTTTTTTTAAAAACAGCTAATTTCCTAAATTATACAGAACATCCGCAGATTCTGGCATCAGTTCTTCTTTCATCACAAAGGGGTGGGATGGGATGGGATGGGATGGGATGAGATGGAGTGGATGGGATGGGATGGGTTTACTATCCGGTTCTGTGGGTTGTGGCTGGTGGGCGTTACCTGGACTTGGTGGTCGTGGTGGCTTGGTGGGTGTGGCCTGGCTTGGTGGGAGGGCAGGGGAAGGATACTGTAAAATCTCCATTCCCACCCCACTCCGGGGGAAGGATACTGCAAAATCCCCATTTCCTCCCGATCAGCTGGAACTTGGGAGGCAGAGAATAGATGGGGGCGGGGCCAGTCAGAGGTGGTATTTACTGGTTCTCCGAACTACTCAAAATTTCCGCTACCGGTTCTCCAGAACTGCCCAGAACCTGCTGAAACCCACCTCTGAAGAGATCGTGGTTACGGAACAAATGACGATGCCTTTAGTTGAGCTAAACAGGCTTGGATACACCTGCTGAACCTGCCAAGGAGTTTGGGGGGGGTCACCTGGCTGAAATGGGTGGCGTAGGAACCCAGAGAGAGAGTGTGGCTGGAAGCTGATCCATAATGGAGGCGCGAGTCCACCAGACCGCCAAGGGGGGGCTGCTTCCGGGGATGCTGTTGTAGTAATTGTGTCCTGAGGAGTCTTCCTCTTCACCCCAAGAATCTTCCACTCCCATTGTCCTGATCAGAAAGACAAGTGGGGACAAGGCCAACGCTATATAAATTGAATGAATGAATGAATGAATCAAAGAAAGAAAGAAAGAAAAGAAAGAAAGAAAGAAAGAAAAAGAAGAGAAAAAGAAAGAAAGAAAACAGAAAAAAAAAAACAAACACCAGAAACAAGAGAACAATGTCACATATTTCAGAAACATAGACATCTATATGTGTCTGTGTGTGTCTGTGTGAGAGAGAGTCTGTGTGTGTGTGTTTATGAGAGTATGTGTGTGTGAAAGTTGTGTGTGTGAGTCTGTGTGAGAGAGAATGTGTTTGTGAATAGGTGTGAGTGTGCCTGTGTACATGGGTGTGAGTGTGAGCATGTGTGTGTGTGTTTGTGAGTCTATGTATATGTTTCTGAGTCTATGTGCATTTGTGTTGTGACAGGCTGTGTGTGTGTGTGAGAATCTGTGTGTATGTGACAGATTCTGTGCATGTGTGCTTGTGTATGTGTGTGAGAGAGTCTGTGTGTGAAGGAGAATGTGTGTGAGAGAGAAACTGTGTGTGTGTGAGAGAGAGAGAGAATCTATGTGTGTGCGTGTGTAAAGAAATCAAGGTGCATGCCACAATTACATGATCAAAACTCATTTTTACATGGTGTGTGTAAAATTGGGGGGGGGGTGCCTTCAATATCCGGTTTCAATTTTTTTTACTACAACTTGGGTCTCCCCCCTCCTGATCCAGCTCCTCCACACTAACACCTAATTGGCTCTTGGGTTAGGAGGGAGGGGCTGGCCCAGTGTCAGCCAATGAGCTTAGGTGGCTGAAGAAGGACTAGAACCTGGGTCTCCCAACCCCTAAACTTACCCTTTCCCCACCACAGCTGATTGGCTGTTAGACTGGACTGGCCACATACAGCCATGAGCTTTCATGACTGAGGGAGTACTAGATTGAGGTCTCCCTCTCCAGCCAGCATCTTCCTCACTACACTTGATTGGACTTGGGCTGGGGATCAGCCAATCTTCTGTAGCTGACTACATCTAGGCTCCTGTTTCTAGTGCAGGCTCACTATATCTGATTGGGTCTTGGGCTGAAGGAGGAAATGGCTCACATTCAGCCAATGAGCTTCCGTACCTGGGGGGGGGACTGGAATCCAAATTTCCCTGTCCTTAGTCCAGACCCTTCTCTATTAGATTATACTTGATTGGATCTTGGAATAAGAGGGAGGGACTGGCCCAGAGTCAGCCAATCAGCTAACTGGGGGAGGGGGGGAGGGAGCAATCTAGAACCTGCAAGTCCAAATGTACAGATCTCCACAGGATCCTCAACGCATGGGGAAACTGAGGCTACAATCCCATACCTGTGGCCAGGGGGGCTTTTTATCAGGTTGCCTGATCCGCCAGTTGTGTCCCTTTCTGGATGGGATGCCTTAGCATGGTCACTCAAGCCCTCGTCATGTCCTGCCTGGACTACTGCAACGCTCTCTACATGGGGCTCCCCTTGAGGAGCACCCGGAGGCTCCAACTGGTCTAGAATGCGGCCGCGCGGGTGGTGATGGGAGGCGACTCAGCGCTCCCATGTAACACCTCTCCTGCGCAAGCTGCACTGGCTCCCAGTGGTCTTCCGGTGCGCTTTAAGGTATTGGTTACCATCTTTAGAGCGCTCCATGGTTTAGGACCAGGGTATTTTCAAGACCGCCTTCTGCGCCAGTAGCCTCACCACCGCCACACAGAGAGGGGCTCCTCAGGGTGCCGTCGGCCAAACAATGTCGGTTGGCAGGCCCCCAGGGGGAGAGCCTTCTCTGTGGGGGCACTGACCCCTGGAACGAGGTTGCCCCCGGAGATACGGCGGATCCCGGATCTGCGCACTTTCCGCCGTGCCTTAAAGACGTTTTTGTTTCACCAAGGGCTGACTGATCTAACTTTTTAAAATTGTTTTAAATTTTAAATTGTTAAATTATGGGTTTAATATAGGGGTGTTTTAACTGTGGGCCAAATTAATTTAATTGAATTTTAATATTGTTTTAATTTTTGTATTTTCTGTATTTTATCTGCTGGCTGTTCACCGCCCCAAGTCCTTCGGGAGAAGGGCGGTATACAAATATAATATAATAATATAATAATAATAATAATAAATAATAATAAATAATAATAATAGTACCACCTCTCTGGGATGCTACAGTTTGGGGTGGCTGTGCAAGTACTGCTTAAAGCGGAGCTCAAGGCCTGCCCGACGGTGTTGATGATGCTTTGCGCCAATCCGTCACAGCATTCCAAGATGTGGCAAGCTGCCAAAGAGAAAGAGAAGATCCCCAACCAGAAATTAAACATATGTCAGGTTTCGATACTATCTCAAAATAAATGAATTTCCAAACTGCCGATCTTTGAGGAAATTTTCTCTTTATTGAGCATAGTGATCTGTCCCTGGCTCTTTTGCGGTCAGCACTGACCTTTGCCCCCAATCCCTCCCTTTCCGATCCCCAATTCTCTGTGTCTCATTGGCTATCTTCCAAGCCACTCTCCTCATCCCATCTCCGTCAGATCACAGGAATGTCCCCCCCTCCTCCCATCTCCGAGGAAACAGAATCTTCAAAGGAATTAAGTAGGCAAAAGTTCAAGCTTCTCCTCTCTTTTCATATGTCAGCGCTGGAACGCTGACAACATAATTTTCGCCGCCCCCACCCAAAACAGATACACAAGAAGACACAAATAGGAGCGGGATGCAGCTGCAGAAACAGCCAATGCAATCTTAGGCTGGGTTAACGGGGCCAATAGGGCTGTCAATGGCAGAACTCTGAAAGTAGGACATGCCTGGAGAAGTGAAATTGAAAGTGAAAGTGAAAGTGAAATCAAAAGTGAAAGTGAAAGCAGGGGGAATGAAAGAATAAAACTGAGGTTTTCACTTGGATAATATTCACATTCTTTTCCCTGGTTCTTTCATGGCCACCACTCACTGGCATATCGTACAGGTAGTCCACGTTTAATGAACAGTTTTAGCAAGCGTTCAAACTTACGACGGGCCTCCAAAAAGGTCCTTACGACTCGATTTCAAAGTTCTGATGGCCACACCCTCTGTCACACTAATGTGATTGCAATTTGCGCTCTTGGCAACCGGCTCGCATTTTACAGCTGCCTGCGGCATCCTGCTGTCATTTGACTGCGATTTTGGGGAGGTTTTGGTAGTTTCTAATCTTTTACTTCTAGTTGCCATAAAAAAAATGCCCACTGGGTATAAAGGATTTGTTTAATGACTAGTGGAATTGTTTAACGACCACCACAAAAAGGTCATAACATTAGGTACTGTCACGTGATGTCCCACTTAATGACTGTCACCATTTACTGTCTATGGAGATTCTCAGTCATCCAAGTCATGGTTGTCCCAAAGGTGCTTTTTCAAGAGGCACTGGACTTTTTTGGTTTTTTATGAAGTGAACTTCATAAAGTTCATCCTATTAAGATAATTGGATGAATTTCATAAAGTTCATCAATTAACCAATGGAATGTTTTGCCTTTAGAAGTTGTGGGTGCTCCATGTGAGAAGGGGATGGCTCCATGTGAGCAGCGGGCAAACACGCACGCATGTGATTGTCCACTATTCATGCAAACGAGGATCAGAAATGATATTCAGCAGCTTCTGACAAGTTCTGGAGAACCGGTAGCAGAAATTTTGAGTAGTTTGGAGAACCGGTAAATACCACCCCTGACTGGCCCTGTCCCCATCTATTCTCTGCCTCCCGAGTCCCAGCTGATCGGGAGGAAATGGGGATTTTGCAGTAATCTTCCCCTGGAGTGGCTGGGAATGGAGATTTTACAGTATCCTTCCCCTGGAGTGGGGTGGGAATGGAGATTTTACAGTATCGTTCCCCTGCCACGCCCACCAAGCCATGCCCACCAAGCCACACCACAGAACCCACAGAAATTTGTAAAAAAAAATTTAATCCCACCACTGGCGTGGATGTGCGCACCCACATGGACTCACTTGCCCACTCTTCCACAGCCCGGTTCCGAATAGTTCAAGCAGCCCAGGGGTTAGGGATCCCTGGTTAAATTAATCATGTAGTCGTTAAATGAATCTCATTCGCCCCCCCCCCCATTGCTTGTTGGAAGCCAGGTAGGAAAGTCTCAAATGGGGATCACATGACCTCAGGATACTGCAACCATCATATAAATACATGCCAATTGCAAGTGCCACATGCCCAATTTTTGATCACGCGACCAAAGGGATGCTACCATAGTTGTAAAGTCACTTTTTTTCAGTGCAGTTGTAACTTCGAAGAGTCGCTAAATGAATGGTGGTAAGTCGAGGAGTATATACACAAAATGCACGGATGTATCAGCTATGGAAAAAAAACTGCTGACGCCTGGTGCATGCATTACTCTGTACACAAAGATGAAACATAGCATAATTTTTAAATATCACCTTTCGCAAGCTCCTGTACCACGCCATTGGCGATAGCTTTTAAAAAGGGGCATGCCATTTCTCTAATCACACTCACCTCGCTGGTTGATGGGATCCTTGGCAACATAAGCGACGTAATCGGTTGTATCCTGGCCAGAAATATAATTCAGAAACAAGAGAGTTAATGTTGAGGCTGCTGAGGCTGAGAAGCAGGACTTATAGCGGGAGGAATGAAGAGGAAGAGGAGTTAAGATAAATTTAGCCTGGATATGTTATGGCCATGTTCATTGGCATTCCACAACCTCCAAATGTGCCGGATTACAGTTCCCATAATCCCCTGTCAAGGGGGGTTCAGATTTTTTCTTTTTAATTTAAATTTATACGTTAGAATGCAGAGCTGGGCCAAGGATGGGAAAGATATTAGCAGTGCACCAGTTGTGAATAGATTGGACATTTCTTCACAGGAGGGATTTAAAAGGAAGTTGGGAAGGCCTCTGAGGGAGATGTGGTAACCCTGGGTGAGGGGGTTGGACTAGATGACCTCTGGGGACCCCTTCCAACCTTTTCATTCTAGGATTCCATAAAAGAATAAATTAGCCAAAGTTATGGGTTATTAACCTTGCTTAGCATGCTGTGGGAATGCATCTGCCAGATCTTCATTGACTTGGTTAACAGTGGACTGGAATAATGTCACTCAATCCTTCATGACAGTGTTTCTCAAAGCTTGGCAGCTTGAAGACTTGGGGACTTCAGTTCCCAGAATTCCCTAATTAGTTATGCTGGCTGGGGGATTCTGGGAGTTGAAGTCCACAGGCCTTCAAGCTCACAAAATTGAAAAACACCAAATGAAGCAATACAGAAAATTGTAACTCTTTAGTGCCATCTCCTGGGTGCGTGAATGTTGCAACTCAAATAGAATAATGTATACAATGAAGGGATGTCCATAGGATTGGGGGCAAAAAGGTCAAGATGGCTGCTCCACTTGCCACCATCTTGGTTTTTTGGCCTATCTCTGCCAGGTTCTCTCATGACACCAAACCTTTCTTTTTCTCCTTTATTTAAGTCTTTTTTTATATTTTCTTCTTTATTCAGACTTTCTCTGACAGACCCAGGAGCAAAATCTTAGCTTCAGCCCCATTTCTGTACTTTCTTCAGACTGCACCTGTATCTGAGTCTCTTTTTCCTTCATTGTTTTTTGTCTGTTGAAGCTCAGTAGGCAGAATTGTGTGAGGAACTTCCTAAAATACTAAATTAACTTTTGGGGTCATGTTTTAACCAAGGATGTCCACAGCAGGATTAAAAAAAGTCAAGAGGCTGACAGTAGCTGAGTTTTTAGATTTTTCAGGGTTTTTTTATTTTACATATTTTATATTCTTTCTAGTTTTTAAAGTTTTTTACTGTTTTTTAAAAGTAAAAGCTTAAAATCTTTTAAAGCTTTTACTGTTTTTATTTATTTATTTAATTCTGAGTAAATAAAATACTGTTTTTATTCTATTCTTCCTATGCCGATCTACAACAATGATAAATATTTTACTTGACTACACCTGTATGATTGAAGCCCCACCCCCTTTTAATGGAGGTGTGGTCTCAATCCCGCAGGCAGAGCTGAGCTGCCATTTTGACTTCTTTGACCTCTCTTGGGTTTGGCCCTGATTTGAACAGATTAGTTTTACTAATTCTATGAAAAGGGCTGTCCCATCTTGACCTTGGTGATTGCCATAACATAGGGGAAGGGAATACCATATTTAGATTTTTTTTTTTATGGGAAGATGTCAAAATTCAAACAGAGTAATCGGGGGAGGGGTCAAAAATGGTGGCTATGATGATGCAATCATGTCTTACTTGGATCATGCATGCAGAACACATGTAAAAATGACATGTCATGTCTGCAAGAAGCCATCTTAATTTTTTTAACTCTCTACTACATCAAGGTTTCCCAGCTTTGGCCACTTTAAGACATGTGGACTTCAATTCCCAGAATTCTCAACAGTGGCTTTCCTGGCTGTGGAATTCTGGGATCTGAGATTTACACCACTGGAAGTGAATAGAGTTAGGAAACACCACCCTATATGGACATTCCTGTACACAAACCCTGGAAAGCTCTGACATCAACACCGCTTGGCATTCTGGGAAAATAAAATGACAGTCGACAACAGCTCAGGAGTGCCAAGAAACAAACTTTAGAGAAAGGGGAGAAATGGATAAAATGAATGTAATGTAACAAGGCAGCTTGACACGATGGCAGTGAATGGGTTCCCAAGAAAATGTGGTGAACAATTCTTCTCTGTCATTTTTAAATGTAAAGTAACACCCCAGTTTGACTCAAATGCTGCAAGGGGTCAATCCTTCCTTTCTTCTTTCATCTTTGCCCAGATTTGCAGATATTTCAATCTGGGTGTGCTAAGACTCCTGAGTTCAGATTTCAGCAATCTCTCCAGATAACTGAACTTCAACTCTCAGTATGTATTGTAACAGCCTGGCTAGCTGGACCCGGATTGTGGGAGCAATAAGCTGACTTTGTAGAAACACCGTTTATGGGGGGCCAAAAGCCCTAATAAGCAGGTATATACAAAAGAATGAAGGCTATTGCTATAAGTGCATTGTAAGCCGCCCTGAGTCTTCGGAGGAGGGCGGCATATAAATTGAACTAATAAAATAAATAAATAGCTGGAAATTCCTAGTCCATATGTCTTAAAGTGGCCTACTTTGGAAAACTAGACTCCTCAAATTCAGAGCAGTTCTTGACAGCTTTACCAAAGTGGTTTACCACTGTTTTCTCTCGTCTAAGATTTTCTGGTGGTCTCTTTTCCAGTAGTAATCAGGGCCAACCCTTCCCAGCTTGCAACCTCAAACAAGAACTCCCAGCAATGTGAGCCGTACTGGCTGGGAGCTCTGCAAGTCATACTGGCTGGGAGACCTTGTGTGAGGATGCAAGTTATGAAGGGTTGGCTCCTTAGTACTGGAAAAAGAGACCACCAGGAAATATTAAACGAGAGAAAACAGTGGTAAACCACTTCTGTAAAGCTGCCAAGAACTGCATTGGATTAGAGGAGTCTAAAACAGTGTTTTTTCAAAGTAAGCCATTTTAAAACATATGGTCATCAACTTCCAGAATTTCCCAGCCAGCCGTGCTGTACTGGGGAATTCTGGGAGTTGAAGTCCACGCATCTTAAAGTGGCTAAGTTTTTTTTTTTTAATTGAAAAAGTTTTACAATTACATTTTCTCCCCAATTCCCCCCCCCACCCTCCCTGGCCTCCCTAACCCTCCCTAACCCCCCTAACCCTCCCCTCCCCCCCAGACTTCCTCAGAATATAATCCAAATCAAAATCCCTTTTTATAAAACTTGAAACCGTCCACCCCTGTATATTTTTCACATCTTCACAAAAATTTATTATTCTATCCCTATATAATCTTTCAGTTAAAAGCTATCTGATATTGCCTAGTTTGATATTTATTCTGCACATAATCTACCCACTTTTTCCACTCCCATACATAAGTCTCTTGTGAGCGGTCTTTTAAATATGCTGAAATCTTCGCCATCTCTGCAAACTGGCCATCTTCAAAGTCCATTCTTCAATAGTAGGCATAGCTTCATTTTTCCAATATTGTCTATCAGTAATCTTGCTGCTGTTATCATATACAATATCAACTTTATTTCACCCAATGTAAAACCCTTAACTATACCCAATAAAATAATTGTGGAGAAAACTAAATTTTTTTCTTCAAAACATTCTGCATAACCCACCAGATTTTTATACAAAAAAACTGGCTAAGGTTGACTTAGTACAATTCAGGCCTGTGGCCTCTCAGTTTTGACTTCCTTGTTAAGTCCCACAACTGCTTGGACTGCAACAGCACAACTCCACAACCCTCTTCCTCACCTGACATGCTGTCACAGATCCACAAAAGATTTTGGTTACACTCTCTGGCTTATTTTAAAACTGTGCTCCAGTGGTCACTGGATTACCAGTATTTTACAGGTTGGAAGTGCCACACACTTACCAAATTGGCCGTGCTCTGAGCTCTCCCAATCTACAGATCCATAAACTGAAATAATAATAACTTTATTGTCATTGTACGTGTATACACAGTATACCCATACAACGAAAATTCACTTAACACCCAAAGACCAGGTCCAACACACATAACAATCCCCAAACATACTCACCCACCACAAATTCCTCACCCCTAAACCACCCAAACATCCACACAACAGACCAAGTAATGCTGCCCAACAGCTCACTGATGGTGAAACGTTATATATCCTGCTTGATATATAACTCCCTTCCAACTCTGTTCTTCTCTTATTCTGACCCAACGAGTTAGATTTCGCCCTATATGTTGCCTCAGAAAAAAATAACCTAACCAAGATTAAAAGCTAAATGGTTGTGAGAATGGAGCCGCTGGCTTTTTAACTCAACTTGGCTAAACAGATTCATCTTGTGAATCTGGCTAGCATTTCGCAGGGCGCAGAAGCTGCTTCCTAGCTTCTACGGAGGCCAAAAAAAAAAAAAAAAAATCCAGCTCATTAGTTGTTAAATTGCCTTTGTTCATTTCCTGCGAGGCAGAATCTCTCGCTCGCTTTTTCTGTGACATTTACACAGCCCAGACAAACACATTGAAATTTTGACACCTGAGCAAGCGGCAAGCTTTTCTCTAGCCTGGAAACAAGCCTTTTGTTATCGTGTGTGTGTGTGTGTGTGTGTGTGTGTGTGTGTGTGTGTGTGTTTGTGTGTTGGGCAGGTGTTGTGTTTTGTGTGTCTACATACACACACATACACACACACAAATGTACATCCTTTCTTACCTTCATACCTCTGCCTGCATTTCATCCCCATCTAGGGAAATGTTTTAGCAGAGACATCTTTATAAAAACACCATGCAGGTAATCCTCGACTTACAACAGTTCATTTAGTGACCAGAGTTCTAACGCCACTGAAAAAAGTTACTTATGTTATGACCGTTTTTCACACCAGTGACCATTGCAGCATCCCCATGGTCACGTGATCAAAATTTGGATGTTTGTCAACTTCTCGACTGGACTACTGCAATGCTCTCTACATGGGGCTCCCCTTGAGGTGCACGCGGAGGCTCCAACTGGTCCAGAATGCGGGCGCGCGGGGTGATATTGGGAGCGACATGGCGCTCACATGTAACACCTCTCCTACGCAAACTGCACTGGCTCCCAGTGGCTTCTTCGAGTGCGCTTCAAGGTGTTGGTTCTTACCTTTAAAGTGCTCCATGGCTTAGGACCTGGGTACCTACGAGACCACCTTCTGCAACCGATAACCTCCCACCAACCAGTATGCTCCATAGAGTGAGCCTTCTCAGGGTACCGTCACTAAAGCAATGTCGACTGGGGGAGAGACCTTCTCTGTGGGGGCACCTACCCTTTGGAACAGGATACCCCCAGGGATACGAATGATCCAGATCTCCGTACATTCCGTCGTGAACTTAAGACCTTTCTGTTTCACCAAACCGGGCTGGCATAAATTTTTTCTAATTGTCTAAATTTTATGCTGAAGATCTTAACTTAATGATGAGCCAAATTGTCTTAATTATTTTAAATTGCTTTTATTTCACATTTTTATATGTATATATGTTTGACTGTTCACCACCCTGAGTCCTTCGGGAGAAGGGCAGTATAAAAATTAAATAAATAAATAAATAAAAACTGGTTCATATTTACGACGGTTGCATTGTCCCGGGGGTCACGTGATCCCCGTTTTGCGACCTTCTGACAAGCAAAGTCAAGGGGAAGCCAGATTCCAGCAACAACCATGTTACTACCTTAACAGGTGCAGTGATTCACTTAACAACTGTGGCAAGAAAGGTCGTAAAATGGGGCAAAACTCACTTAACAACTGTCCCGCTTAGCAACTGAAATTTTGGGATCAATTATGGCTGTAAGTCAAAGACTATCTGTACCAAGTAATACCACATCGTCACTATCATCATAATTATTATCCTCACCATTATTATTTCGAAAAGACGTTATCGTCATGTTCTGCAGCAGGAGAATTACAGGGAGTCCTTGACTTACGACCACAACTGGGCCAGGGACTTGTTGTTTAATGAGTTACACCCCATTCTTTGCCATGGTCTTTAAGTGAGTCATGCGATTGCCAAGCGAATCCAGCTTCCCGGATTTGACTTTGCTTGTCGACAGTATGCTGGGAAGTCACATATGGCAATCCAGTGATCCTGGATGCTGTATTTGTCTTAAACAAAGCACCGTTGTAACTTTGAACAATTGTTAAACTGATAGCTGTAAGCCGAGGATTATCTGTAGTATCATTTTGTTAATTAAGAGAGTGTTGATCTCTGATTTTAGACTAAGGCTGGTTTTAGACTAAAAACTCTATGGATTGGGCCTCTATTTAGCAGGAAGGCAATTGTTTTGCTGTTGAACATATTTTCTTAATTAAATAAGGGGAAGAGGTGAAGAGTCTCTTTACTATGAGGTTAGGGTTCAAGTGATCGAGTTTCTCTTCTCTTTTTCATCCATTTACTTCCTTTCCTTTTCCTTTCTCTTTCCCTTTTGATTCTTTCCTTTTCTCCCTTCCTTTCTTCCTTCCTTTCTTTCTTTCCCTTCTTTTCCCTTCCTTTTTTTTTCTTTCCCTTTCCTTTCTCTTTCCTTTCTGTTCCTTTTCTTTTTTCCCTTCACTTTTCTTCCTTTCTTCCTTCCCTTTCCTTTCCTTCTTTCCTTTTCTTCCTTCCCTTTTCTTCTTTCCTTTCTTTCACTTTCCCTTTTCCTTTCCCTTTCTGTTTCTTTTCCTTTTCTTCCCTTCCCTTCCTCTTCTTCCTTTCCTTTCCTTTCTTTTCCTTCCTTTCCCTTTCCTTTCTTTCCCTTTCCTTTCTCTTTCCCTTTCTGTTTCTTTTCTTTTTTCCTTCACTTTTCTTCCTTTCCTCCTTTCCCTTTCCTTTGTTTCTTTCCTTTTCTTCCCTTCCTTTTCTTCCTTTCCTTCTTTCCATTTCCTTTTCCTTTCCTTTCTGTTTCTTTTCCTTTTCTTCCCTTCCTTCCTCTTTTCCTTTATTCCTTTCTTTTCCCTCCTTTTCCCTTTCCATTTCTCCTTTCCTTTCCTTCTCTTCCCTTCCCTTTTCTTCCCTTTCTTCCTTTCCCTTTTTCTCTTTTCCTTTCCTCTCCTCTCCTCTCCTTTCATCTATTTACTTTCTTCCCTTTCTCTTCTTCATCCATTCCTTCCTTTCCTTCCTTTTCCCTTCTTTCCTCCCTCCCCTCCTTTTTCACCATTTACTTCCTTTTTTTTTTCCTTCCTCCCCTATCTATTTCCTTCTCTTCCTTTCTTTTTATTATCCATTTATTTCCTTTCCCCTTTTCTTCCCCTTCCCTTTTGCCTTGCCTTTACTGTTGCCTTTTAGACATTATTTTAATCATCTTTTCTTGCAGCAGTGGAGTTTGGAAAAAAAAAAAAATCTCCTTGCCAAGGTTATATTATCTGCTGCTTTGAAAATGTCAGCTTTGTTAGATTCTGAGATAAATGACCTGAAGAAGGATCATAACTCAGTAACACAGAGACACAGACTGCCATGTAGGCACCATTTCTTCACATAATGCCTCATTCATCATCATTTAATGACCCCGTAATCCCTTGCAGGAGGGGTGGGAGTCTGGGCAACTGAATGGAGCTAGCAGAGTGTTTTAATGGCCGGATGCCTTTCCTGTCGCCAATGCAGAGTTTTGTTCAGCAGATAAATTCTCATTGTGCCCAGATAGAGAAATATCTGCCTCTACCTAGGATCGAACTCACAGCCTCCTGATTGTGAGGCAAGAGCTCCCCCTCTAGGCCACCGCACCACTCTCACACAATGCCTCATCAATACCCTGTGGAAATCATGGCTAGGAATGGCCACCAACTGGGATGGCTTTTAAAGAGGGCCAGACAACCAGTTGCCTCCTGAAAAAGCACCTTTGGGACATGCTGCTACAATGCCTTAAATATTATTAAACCAAAAAACCACATCTGCCTATCCCACGTCCTTGGGGAAGATTCAATAGGTGGACAAAAATGCCAAATCCAAATGCCAAAGAGCCTTGGTGGCGCAGCAGACTAAAGTGCTGTTAAGTAGCACCAGCTGCCTGCAGTTACTGCAAGTTCAAATCTCACCAGGCTCAAGGTTGACTCAGCCTTCCATCCTTCCGAGGTAGGTAAAATGAGGACCCGGATTGTGGGGGCAATAAGCTGACTTTGTATAAAAAGAACACCGCTTAGGGGCCCGAAAGCCCTACTAAGCAGGTATATACAAAAGTATGAAGGCTATTGCTTAACGCATTGTAAGCCGCCCTGAGTCTCCAGGGAAGGGCGGCATATAAATCGAACACAATAAATAATAAATAAATAAATCCAGGTTGAACATCTGGCTGACTGTGCAACCGACCATAAAAACATTAGCAATGGCAATAGCACTTAGACTTATATATGGCTTCACAGTGCTTTTACAGCCCTCTCTAAGCTGTTTACAGAGTCAGCCTCTTGCCTCTGACAATCTGGGTCCTCATTTTACCCACCTCGGAAGGATGGAAGGCTGAGTCAACCTTAAGCCTAGTGGGATTTGAACTGCCAAATTGCAGGCAGCCGGCAGTTACCAGAAGTAGCCTGCAGTACCACACTCTAACCACTGCGCCACCAAGGCTCACGAGAATTAATAATAATTCTGCATTTCTTTCTATGGATCTAAGCACCCACATTCCCTCCCGTGCACAGAACACATAACATTCAACGTTCCCCTTACCGTGTCACCCCCCGAAGCGAAGGAGATAGATTGCATGTGGTGATTCGCGATGATCTACAATGGAAACAGACAGATAGAGATGGAAGGGAAGGTATGATCAGCTTTGTGAGGAAGAAGGGGGAAAGGCCATAAAAAGGCTTGGGCATTGCTCAGCAAATTGGCTGGATCATATTGTTCATTAACAGGAATCTGCAAATTTGGCAACTTGAAGACTAGTGGACCAGTGGTGAAATCCTCTGAAGTCTACTACCAGTTCTTCGAGTCTACTATTGAGTGCGCGCTGCGCAGCGCTAAAAGATAAACATTTTGAAGCCTTCCAAGTCTGCAAAGATAAGTAGAATAGCGGGGGGGGAATCCGCTGTGCCACGTGATTTAGATTAGCTAAAAAGCAGGAAATCCGACGATTCTAGCTAATATAAATCGCGTGACACAGCTGATCGTCGCCCAGCTGATCGTCGGAAATACTGGTTCGCCCGAACCAGTCTGAACCGATAGCATTTCATCTCTGTTGTGGACCTCAACTCCCAGAATTCCCCAATCCTTAATTGGCTGGGATCACCCCATGCAGCCAGTTGAAAAAACCAGGTGTTTGCTATACAGGCAGTCCTTGATTTACGACCACAATTGGAAACAGAAAATTCACTGTTAAGCAATGCACTTATTAAAGTGAAATACCACATGACTGCATCCAACATTGCAACCTTTTTTTCAGCAGTCATTAAGCGAGACATCGTATGTCCACAACTTGCGTCCTTCCCTACCGATTTCCCGTTGTTGGATGCCAGCTAGGAAGGTCACAAATGGCGATCACGTGATCCCAGGATACCACAATCGTCATGAATGTGAATTCATTGCCAAGCACTCAGCTCACAATCGGTAACCATGGGGATAATGCGACAGTTGTAAGTGCAAGGACCAATTGTAAGTCAACGCTGTCGTAACATCACACAGTTGCTAAATGAATGGTCGTACGTTGAGGACTGCCTGTAAGTTGATTTTACTGCAAGGCAGTGCTTTCTGATTTTACCCATTCAAGAAAGGATCCCTAATTGACTGGGATCATCCATACGGTCAATCCAAGAATCTCACTCTAAATTGGCAACATAGGCCTATGTTTTATGTTTCGGTGGATTCAAGCAGGAGATTCAGGCAATTAAATTAGTATAAAGATTTATGGCAAGCTTAAGCTCTCTACAAGAATCTAACCAACTAACAGTCAAGGGAAATGAACGGGAGATAAGAAGGCATTGACAGTGGGCTGGATTTAGATTGGGCGCGCAGGGACTCGTGACTTATGATGTGTTTGACCCCTCCTTGGGCTCAGCCTGCTTTTCTCCTACAAATTCCTAATCTCAGCAAGATGTGTTTTGAAGTGGAGGTTTTCAGATTTGCCTTCTTCCAACACATACCTGAGGGAGGAGGAGTCAGATGGCAGATGGAACAACCCAAATGGAGGAGGATGGAGGTCTCACCTGTCGAGTGGTGGGGATCATCAGGTTCAAACCATCGATGGAAATGTTGACAGCTATGCTAATGCCAGCAAATCGGAGATTGCTCTTGCCAAGGATTGAAAACAGGCTTTTGTTTGGCGCCTGGGAAAACAGAATCAGAGGACCATCCGATCTATGAAAGCTCTTCAAACCTTTGTCAACTCAGCAAAGTCAATGGGGCAGCTTAACGACTGATTCACTTAAATCAAGGGTTGTCAAACTCGATTTCATTGAGGACCGTGTCAACATTGTGGTTGTCCTTGTGGGGGAGGGCAGTGGAGGGGTGGGGGGTGGCCGGGGTGGTCACGGCCGACTGGGCGTGGCCAGCTCAATGTTGCTCACGTGGGAGGGCTCCTGTGGGGGCCAAGCGGGGGGTTGGGGAGGGAATCCAGGGGTCTCCGGTGGGTTGGGAAGGTAGCAGGAGGCTCGTCCCACAGGACGAGATGAGGTGAGGCAAGGCAGAGGGTGGGGGCAGCTGCTGCCAGAAGCCATCGACCATCACGCGCTTGCCGACCTTTGTGTGCGGGGGCTGATGGTTTCCGGCAGCAGCCGCAGCCTGCTGGCCCTCAGCTAGCGCACTGTGCAGCTCCAGAACCCTCTTCCACTGGGCTGGCTGCCCAAGCAGGGTGCAGCGGCGGCATCAGCAGCAGGCGGAGGGGAGGCACGTGATGCAGATCGGTGGACGAGATGCTGTGCTTCTCGGATGGAAAGCCAGGAGTCCAGGTTCGAGACCCGAGTGGACCGGGTGAGCTCCTGTCCTCATCTCAGCTCGCAGTTCAAAAGCATGAAAACGCGAGTATATAAATAGGTACCACTATGGTGGGAAGGTAATAGCAAATCCCACTCCTGGCTGGCCCCACCCCACCCCAACTTGCCCCTCCCAGGAGTCCCACACAGCCTGTTTTGGATGCAGATAAGTGCAGGGCGCACAGGAAGCTTGGGGGTGGCAAAAAAAAACTTCCGGGCTTATCGGAAGTTCGGGAAGGCCAGAAATGGGCCCGTTTTACAGCCTCCAGAGGGCCTCGGAGCCTGGGGAGGCTGTTTTCGCCCTCCCGGAGGCTCAAAGAAAGCCTCTGGAGCCTGGGGAGGGCAAAATCCCCCCCCATGGTGCAGGAGGGCAACTAGGCACGCCACCATGGCCACGCCCAACCAGCAACCGAGCAGAGAAACCCTTTCCAAAAAATTTTGAAGCCCAGCTCTGCAGATGACCACAGAATTGTCTTCGGCTATGCTGCTTCAATGGTCTTGAACGGAGATGAGCATCAGCCCTTACAGTTGGCAATGATTAGCGGAGTAAAATCTGCAAGGATTTCTTTACTTTTTACTCATGTGCACCGGGGGGGCTCCATTTTCGATAGTTTTCGGACGCCTCTGGGGGCGGCTGCCAGTCGTCCTCGACTTACGACCGCAAGTGTTGCTAAGCGAGACAGTTGTTAAGCGAGTTTTACAACCTTTCCGGCCTCCGTCGTTTCTGTGAATCATTGCGGTTGCTCAGTTAGTAACACGGTCGTGTTAAGTGAACCCGGCTTTCCCCGTTGACTCGACAAGTCCGTTTTTGTCAGCGCCGTTGTCACTAAACGAATTTGTTGTAAGTCGAGGACTACCGGTTTTCGAATTCCACAAGCAAACCCTTGTGGAAAGCTGGACCAGCAAGACAAGATGGGGATTATGGGTACTGACATCCAATCCGCCTTGAAGGCACCAGGCACACCCTCAAAAATATCCTAAAATTATTTTGGCAAGGACATTTCTTTCTCTTACATTCCTTCTCTTTTTTCTATAAACCTTTTGTTTTATTTTTTTCCTGCTTTTTTTGCCCGCTGAAGAGTTCAGAAGAACCCCAAAATCTGCCTGTTTTTTGGGGAGACGGGGAGGGGGGGGTCTGGCTTGGTCCTAAAACGGACCATCCCGGTGGATAAAACCACTGTCCCACGCAAAGAGGCCATGGGGTTTTAATTTTAATTCCTTTCAATCATCATCATCCTCTTTTAACGACTCCCTAATCCCTTGCCGGGTGGAATCTGAGCAACCGAATGGAGCTAGCAGAGCTTTTACTGGCCGGATGCCTTCCCTGTTGCCAGAGCGGAGTTTTGTGCGGCAGATAATATTCTCCTTTCCATGTGACCATTCAATTTTATTTTTACATTTTTTTGGAATTTTGGGGAGTCAGTTTTGGGGGGGGGTTCTTCGTGCCCCGAGAATGTCCTGCGGGGAGGGTGTTTAAGAGGGGAGGCCGTGCAAATCCCCGTTAATCAAATGAAATATAATTTATTTATTTATTTTATTTCTATACCGCCCTTCTCCCGAAGGACTCAGGGCGGTGTACAGCCTAATTAAAAACACAAAGACAGACAGTATTTAAAAATAATTAAAATTATGAAATAATAGGCCTAATTTACGTGTCATCTTTCTGTTTTGTTTTGCTTTTAAAGATCCGGCTTTTATTCGCGCCGAGAAGTCCTGAGATCCGCAGCCATGACTCGTGGGGTCCTTCAGATCTTTTTTGTCTCTTTGTGGCTTCTCCAGCTGAGTTGTTCCCCGACGGGTAAGTGTGTAAAATCAAGTGTCGGCAAGTGTCGGCAAGTCTCAGGTGTTCCCTTGCTTTTGCACAATCCATTCCCTTGCAAAATGTGCCCTAAAGCCGGGATTAAAACTCGAAAAGGGTTGTGAAAACTCTCGTTTCCCCGAATGACTGAGATTTTAAGTAATCCGGAAAGAGAGCCTCCATGTTTAGAGGCAGTCTAGCTGTCTACGATCTGGAGAACGTTCCTGGCTAACGTTCCTGCAGGGAAAACTGTGGGGAAGGTTTCGGAGCCAGGTGGTGGCGAGTTCAAGTCCTGCCCTAGGCATGGAAGCCGGTTGGGTGATTTGGGGGCCATTCACTAGGAGGCTCTGAGTTCTAATCCTGACTTAGGGGGGAGAAAATTGGCTGGGCAACTTTGAGCCGATGACCAGGAGATGGTCCTGATTTAGGCATGAAAGCCAGCTGGGTGACTTTGGCCCATTCACCAGGAGACGGTGAGTTCAAGTTCTGCTTGACATCTTGAGAATGAAGCAGAAAAACGGAAGCCTAAGAAAATGTCTAAGAAACTATTAAAGATTGGTTTCCTTCACATTTATCAAGCCAATTTTCTTCCTTTCTTTCTTTGTCTTTCTTTCTTCCTTCCTTCCTTCCCTTCCTTCCTTTTTCCTTCTTTCTTCTTTCTTTCCTTCCTTATTTTCTTTCTCTTTCCTTCTTTCTTTCCTTCCTTCTCTTCCTTCCTTTTTCCTTCCTTTTTCCTTTCTTTCCTTCCTTCCTTATTTTCTTTCTCCTTTCTATTTTCTTTCTCCTTTCTATTTCCTTCCTTCCTTCTTCCCCTTCCTTCCGTTTTCCTTCTTTCTTCTTTCTTTTCTTCCTTCTTTTCTTCCTCTTTTTCTTCCTTCCTTCTCTCCTTCCTTTCTCCTTCCTTCCTTCTCTTCCTTCATTTTTCCTTCCTTTTTCCTTCTTTCCTTCCTTCCTTCCTTATTTTCTTTCTCCTTTCTCTTCCTTCCTTCCTTCTTTCCCTTCTTTCCCTTCTTTTTTCCTTCTTTCTTCTATCTTTTCTTCCTCTTTCCTTCCTTCCTTCTCTTCCTTCCTTTCTCCTTCCTTCCTTCCTTCTCTTCCTTCATTTTTCCTTCTTTCCTTCCTTCCTTCCTTTGTTTTCTTTCTCCTTTCTCTTTCCTTCCTTCCTTCTTTCACTTCCTTCCTTTTTTCCTTCTTTCTTCTATCTTTTCTTCCTTCTCTTTCTTCCTTTTTCCTTCCTTTTTTCCTTCCTTTTTCCTTCTCTCTTCCTTCCTTCCTTATTTTCTTTCTCCTTTCTCCTTTCTCCTTTCTCCTTTCTCCTTTCTTTCTCCTTTCTCCTTTTTCTTTCTTTCTTTCTTTCCTTCCTCCTTCCTTTCCTTCCTTCCTTCCTTCCTTCCTTCCTTCCTTCCTTCCTTCCTTCCTTCTTTCCTTCCTTTTTTCCCAGGTGGGCGGCCATGCTCTCCCAGAAATTTTGGGCACGGTTCCTTGGTCTGTGAATGCGGGGCTGATTATTGTGACACTTTGGAGCCAGTCACTCTCCCAGATTTGGGGTCTTTTGTGAAGTACGAAAGCAATAAAGCCGGACGTCGCGTGGAGCGCAGTGAGGGTCTCCTATTGGATAACCCTTCGGAGAACGGTGAGTCCAGATTAGACCCACAAATATGCTTTTTACCCCAAGGAATCCTGGACAACGTGAAATGTAGTAGGCCTTCCCTTCCTTCTATCCTCATAAGAACCCTGCGAGGTTGGCCTGGAGGACACAATGCCCAGTTCTCGACTGAGAGCCAATTTGGTCTAGTGGTTAAGGCATCAGGCTTGAAACCAGGAGACTGGGAGTTCTAGTCCCACCTTAGATATGAAAGCCGGCTAGGTGACTTTGAGCCAATCACCAGGAGACGGTGAGTTCTAGTCCCACTTAAGCCATGAAAGCCGGCTGGGTGACTTTGGGCCAATCACCAGGAGACGGTGAGTTCTAGTCCCACCTTAGTCATGAAAGTCGGCTGGGTGACTTTGAGCCAATCACCAGGAGACAGTGAGTTCTAGTCCCACTTAAGCCATGAAAGTCGGCTGGGTGACTTTGGGCCAATCACCAGGAGACGGTGAGTTCTAGTCCCACCTTAGTCATGAAAGCCGGCTGGGTGACTTTGGGCCAATCACCAGGAGACTGGGAATTCTAGTCCCACCTTAGATATGAAAGCCGGCTAGGTAACTTTGAGCCAATCACCAGGAGACAGTGAGTTCTAGTCCCACTTAAGCCATGAAAGCCAGCTGGGTGACTTTGGGCCAATCACCAGGAGACGGTGAGTTCTAGTCCCACCTTAGTCATGAGTTGGGTAACTTTGGGCCAATCACCAGGAGACGGGGAGTTATAGTTCTGCCTTAGGCGGGAAATCCAGTTGGATGACTTTGGGCCAATTTTGAGGAAGTTTGGAAAACTTTTCATACCAAAGAAATTTCATACGTATTTCCTTATATAGAGAATCCCAGCCATCAGTTTATTAATTGATTAATGTTTATTAATCTATTAATGTTTATTCATTGATTAATGTTTAATAATTGATTAATGCTTAGTAATTGATTCATGTTTAATGCTTTATATTTATAATATTATAATTTATTAATATTGAACTTAAATGCTATCCATCTCGCTATTCAAATCGGTTCTTAACCACCTCCACAAAATGCTAGACCTGTTTAGCCTTTTTAATCTGGTTTGAATCTGGAGTGGAGGACGGGTGCGTTGGTGCCAACCCAGAAGCCACAATCAATTCGCTAAACACGTCAAGCCTGTTATGCAAATGTCATTTTAAAAAAACAAAAACAAAAACCCAGAAGAACAATTTAACAACCAGGTGGGCGTGCAAGAGAATATATAAGCACCGTCCTGTATAAAACTGGGTGTTTTCTTTTTTAATTCCTCCCTCTCTTTTCTTCCTTTAACAGAGAAATATAGCAAAAAAAAAAAAAACAAACCACAAACAAACCAACATTTAATGCTACATGTAACAACGGCGGCTAGAATTGTATAATAATAATAAGTTTATTGTCATTGTACGTGTATACACAGTATACCCATACAACGAAATGCACTTAACACCCAAAGAATACACAACACATATAACAATCCCCAAACACAGCCCCACCCACCACAAATTCCCCACCCCTAAACCCCCCAAACATCCACACAACAGACCAAGTAATCCTGTCCCAACAGCTCACTGATGGTGGCCCTTTAGTTCATTGTTGAGTGCAATTATAACTCTGGGATAAAAACGATTCAGAAAACGTGCGGTCCGAGTTTTAATTGTTCTGTATCTTCTGCCAGAAGGCAACAGTCCAAAAAAGATTGTAAGCAGGATGGGAAGAGTCTCTGAGGATGTTATGCAACTTCCTCAAACAACGAGGATTCGAAGATGTCGTCCGGGGCTGGTAGCTGGAGTCCGATGATATTCTGGGCAGTTTTAATGATTCTCCGTAGAAACGGACTCAGGGCGGTGAGGTAGGACAGAAGTAGATGCCGAGATAGATTTATATGCTCAAAATTGGAAAAAATGGAAATATACCCTCTGAGGAAATGGTAATAAATATTAGAATGCGCTGAGATGGATAGGTTGACAATGGAAATCAAAGACAAAGAAGAAACAGAATATTATTTAACTTGGGATATATGGTATAACTGGCTTGAGAGTAGATGCCAAGAGAAGAAAATTAACAACGAAAGACGATGAATGAAATAGAAATCAGAATGAAGTATAAGTATCAAGAAAGAAAGAGGAGCCTGAGTGGCGTAGGAGGCTAATGCCTCCTACTAAGGCAGCATTTAACATCCAGCTGCCTGCAATTACTGCGAGTTCAATTCTCACCAGGCTCAAGGTTGAACTCAGCCTTCCATCCTTTCTAAGGTGGGTAAATTGAGGACCCAGTTTGTGGGGGCAATAAGCTGATTTTGTATAAATATACAAAAGTATGAAGGCTATTGCTTAACGCATTGTAAGCCGCCCTGAGTCTCCGGAGAAGGGCGGCATATAAATCAAATTTTAAAAAAAAAATTAAGAATACTTATTATGTATAATAAGTATTATATATAATATACGATATATAATATTAGATCACAGTAGCTCAGCCAATGTCATTGTGCATATATTGTGCACTGACAATAAAGATTTGAATTGAGTGGGTAAGATGTTACCAAAAAAATGTAAAATCTAAAAAATATTTAGAATGATAAATATATAATGTAAATACAATTGTATATATAAATGTAAAAAAACACACACACACACACAAAAAAAAAAAACTCTGGATACAAGCCGGTTTGCAGATGTTTGCAAAGTGAAAACTGTACTGTAAAACGAAGAAAAACAAACAGAGAAACTGTTTAATAAAAATATTTATTTAATGGGGGGAAAAAAGAGAGAGAGAGCTGCCAATGTCATTTAAAAAAACAACAACAACGGAAGAACAATTTAACAAGGTGGGCCTACAAGAGAATGTGTAAGCACCGTCCTCTATAAAACTGGGTGTTTTTTTAAAAAAAATCCCTCCCTCTCTTTCCTTCCTTTGACTAGATAATCTGGTTTTGAAGCTGAAGACATCCCAGAAGTATCAAAAGATCAAGGGTTTCGGGGGAGCCCTCACCGATTCGGCTGCTATTAATATCCTGAATTTGTCCCCCAAGAGTCAGAGAAACCTGCTCAAATCCTATTTCTCCAGCGAAGGTCAGTTTTATTCACTCGCTTACTTATATATTTATTAATTAAATATGTGGGCCGCCTGACTTACCGTAGGGAAAACATCAAACAGAATAGCTGGGGATTTTTTTAAAAAAAAATTTAGTTATGCATTCACACCTTGGATTCAGCAGTTCCTTGCATAATCCCAGTTTAAATAATGTTATTTAAGCATTTCGTGTGGGCAGGGAAGCGCCCAAAGGGAGTTTCTTGGTGTGGCCGACAATTCCCAGGAGGTCGTCCCTTTTCATCCAGACAGCGTCGAGACACAAAGTCTACAGCTAAGTCCTCAACTTATGACTGCAATTGGTATCTCTTGCCAAGCATGTTAGGTGAATTTATAACGTTTTATGTTGGGACTTGTATCTAACGCGCTTTTTTCAGTGCTGTGGTAATGTGGTTTTTTTAAAAAAAAATTTAATTTTCCATTTTTTAAAAAATATAAACATTTCGTCTCTCCTTAAGCAGTGTGTCATCTGGGTACAAATATTTCTGTGCAACGGTCCTTCCGCAAATTATATACATTGAACGATTGATTATACCTTGTGTAACTCTTCATCTCCTTCATAACGTATCTTCTCATAATAACATTACACCGGATTATTCTCATCATACTCACGTTATCAATTGCCATTTTAGTCTTATCTCTGTCTTAATGTATTTTCTAGTCTTCTTCTTGTCTGCTTCCTTCATTTCCAATTTCCTTTTTTATTCGCTGACCATTGGTAAAATGCTTCCCATATCATATAACAATCCGTTTGTTCTTTCTCTTTAATTGCTAGTGTTAATCTATTCATTCATTCATTCATTCATTCATTTATTCGTTCAATTTATATGCCGCCCTTCTCCGGAGACTCAGGGCAGCTTACAATGCATTAAGCAATAGCCTTCATACTTTTGTATATACCTACTTAGTAGGGCTTTTTAGAATAGAATAGAATAGAATAGAATAGAATAGAATAGAATAGAATAGAATAGAATGAAGAATGAATAGAAGAGAGAATTAAGAATAGAAGAGAATTAAGAATAAATAGAATAGAATAGAATAGAATAGAGAATGAATAGAATAGAATAGAGAATGAATAGAATAGAATAGAATAGAATACAGAATGAATAGAATACTATAGAATAGAATAAAGAATGAAGAATGAATAGAATAGAATGAAGAATGAATAGAATAGAATGAAGAATGAATAGAATAGTATAGAATAGAATAGAATAGAATGAAGAATGAATAGAATAGAATAGAATGAAGAATGAATAGAATAGAATGAAGAATGAATAGAATAGAATTAAGAATGAATAGAAGAGAGAATTAAGAATAGAATAGAAAAGAATTAAGAATAAATAGAATAGAATTAAGAATGAATAGAATAGAATAGAATAGAATAGAGAATGAATAGAATAGAATAGAATAGAATAGAACAGAACAGAACAGAACAGAACAGAACAGAACAGAACAGAACAGAATAGAACAGAACAGAACAGAACAGAATAGAATAGAATAGAATAGAATTCAATTCTTTATTGACCAAGTGTGATGGGTCAGACAAGGAATTTGTCTTGGTGCATAAGCTCTCGGTGCACATAAAAGAAAAGATACATTCGTCAGGAATCATAAGGTACAACACTCAATGATAGTCGTAGGGTGCAAATAAGCAATCAGGAAACAATATCAATGTAACTCGTAGGGATACAAGCAACAAAATTACAGTCATACAGTCATAAGCGGAAGGGGATGGGTGGTGGGAACGATGAGGAGATTAATAGCAGTGCCGACTTAGTAAATAGTTTGACAGTGTTGAGGGAATTATTTGTTTAGCAGAGGGATGGCAGGGCTACCTGTAGGAAGTTGCTGGCCATGGTGCTGAACCCAAGCCAAGTCCCTGTTGGCTAAATGTAGAGGCATTGTCCAAGGTTCTCCATGCCTTTAATCCTCTTAGTTGCTCTTCTCTGCACTTTTTCCCAAAGTTTCAACCGTCTTTTCTGTAACGTGGTGACCAAAACTGGATGCAATTATTCCAGGGGTGGCCTTACTACAGGATTTATAAAGCGGTACTAATACTTCACGTGCTTTTGATTCTGTGCCTCTGTTTATAAAACCGAGAGCTGTATTAGCTTTTTTTTTTGGCTGCTGCTGCACATATCTGGCTCGTGTTTAAGGGATTGTTCACTAGGACTCCAAGTTCCCTCTCATAGTTACTATTTTTGAGCCAGTTTTCACCTAATCTGTTCTGGCACCTTTGGTTTTTCCTGCCCAAGTGTAAAACCCTTGCTTTTCTCCACCTTAAATTTCACTTCGTTGAGTAGGGCCCATTGTCTGAGTCTGTCAAGACCTTTTGGGATCTTGAGCTTGTCATCTGGGGTGTTGGCTATTCCTGCCAGCTTAGTGTCATCTGCAAATTTGATGAGTTCCCCTTCGATTCCCTCATCTAAGTCATTTATGGAGATATTCAAGAGTAAGGTAAAGGGAAAGTTTCCCTTTGCACATACGTGCTAGTCGTTCCCGACTCTAGGGGACGCTGCTCATCTCCGTTTCAAAGCCGAAGAGCCAGCACTGTCCGAAGACGTCTCTGTGGTCATGTGGCCGGCATGACTCAACACCAAAGGCGCACGGAAAACACTGTTCCCTTCCCACCAAAGGGGGTCCCTATTTTTTCTACTTGCATTTTTTATGTGCTTTCGAACTGCGAGGTTGGCAGAAGCTGGGACAAGTAACGGGAACTCACCCCATTACGCGGCACTCGGGATTCGAACCGCTGAACTGCCGACCTTTTGATCGACAAGCTCAGCGTCGTAACCACTGAGCCACCACCTCCTTTATTGAAGAGTAGGGGGGCGCTAAGATGGAAACTTGTGGTCCCCCACTCCTTGTTTTCCTCCATGTAATCTGTTCTTGTACCTTTAGTATTTTCCTGCCCAGGTATAAAACTTTTCTCCACGTTAATGAATGAATCCTTCCCTCGTATTCCCTCATCTGCTGCATGGACTGCCAATCCCATCCTTCCCGCTGGGGTCTAGCTTGGCTGAAGAGGGGGAAATTCAGCCGTTTGGGGGAGCTAACCCACCCCATCTGCAAATCTGTTGTGTTTTTGAACGCAGGCATCGAGTATACCTTGATCCGTGTGCCCATGGCGAGCTGCGACTTCTCCGTGAGGCTGTACACTTACGCCGACGTGGAGAACGATTTCGACCTGAAGAACTTCAGCCTGACGGACGAAGATACCAAAATGAAGGTGGGCTGTTAGTTACTAGTTGTTAGTTGTTACTAGTTACTAGTTGATCCAGTCCCAGATTAGTAACAGCACTGTACAGGGTTGCACACATGGGTTCAGTTGTACGTTCATTTTAGGGTCCAATTAATAAGAGGTAGATCGAGGTCACCAAGAAAGATAAGAAGGTGTAGGCAGGAGGCTGCCCACGTTAGTAGTGAAGTTAGCTTGTTCACATGTTCGAGGACGTAATCAGGGGCTCTGTAACATAGTTTGTTTGTTTGTTTTGTTTTATTAGATTTATATACCGCCCTACTCCCGAAGGACTCAGGGCGGTGAACAGGGACAAAGTAAAATCCGATCAGCAGAATTTTAAGAATATTGAGCCCCTAAGTCTCAATATTAGAGTTTTGTTCAGCAGATAATATTCTCATTGTGCCCAGACAGAGAGAAATATCTGCCTGGGGTTGAACTCACAGCCTCCTGATTGTGAGGCGAAGGCTCCACCCTCTAGGCCACCGCACCACTCAATAAAATGGCTTGATTTAAAATTACATTTTGCTATCGCCGCTACAATCTACCCCAACCAGTCCCACGTAGGCGGATCTCAACCGAACCATTTTGCTTAAGTGCTGTGTTGTGTTAAGTGTTACTTTCAGTTTAATGCACAGGTAAAACAATGCTCTGTCTTATCTATTTATTTATTTTTGTTTATTTGTTTGTCAAATATGTACAAGATAGCAGGTATGAATATGATCGTGGACACGAACGAAGGAAACGAGTACAAATAAATGGGGAGAGTAGGACAGGGACGGAAGGCACGCCGCTCTTAGGTGCCCCCTTTATACACGCCCCTCTTAGGAATGGGGTGAGGTCCTATTAAATAGAGTTCTGGTTTAGATTCCATTTTTAATTTGGTAATTTCCTCCAGCCAATTTTTAATTTTACGCCAACATTTTTTAATCTTGGGGCACATCCACCACATATGGTAGTATGTGCCTAATTTGTAACCACCTCTGTTGCTGAAGTCATATTTTCTGCAATCGAGTTTGAGGCGGTTTACCTTGAGTTTGTACCGATTGTTTGCCCGTGTATTATCGAGGCAAACAATTGCCTCGATAATACACGATGCCAAATTATTGAAGCTGAAGAAGTCGTTGACAGGTAGGACGTCGTAGCAGACAATTTTGTGTACTACGCTTAGGTCAGACTGCAGGCGGTCTTGCCGCACATTAGATCTTAAATCACAATATCTTCCCGCACATTAGATCCCAATCTTGCAACAAGCCCAAGCAGTCGCTTCCAGACCCCTGTTACTCTACGCCAGTCCCTGGACATCGCCCGTATGGATGAAAACGAACGGTGCCATGACTGGCCGGGGGACTCTCAAGGGCCAACCGGGCGACAGATATCACAAGACCTGGGCAAACTATTTTATCAGGTAAGGCGTGTGTGAGTTTGAGGGTTGAAACAGGACACCTTGGAGGAATATTGATCAGAATAGAGCTGGAAGGGACCTTGGAAGTCTTCTAGTCTAACCGCCCTTGGTCAGGAAGGAAGGAAAGAAGGGAGGGAGGAGGAAGGAAGGAAGATGGAAGAGAGGGAGGGAGGGAGGGAGGAGAAAGAGAGAGGAAGAGAGGAAGAAAGGGAGATGGAAGAAAAGGAGGGACGGGAAGAAAGAGAGGGAGGAGAAAGAGGGAGGGAGAGAAGGAAGGAAGGAAGGAAAAGAGGGAGGAAGGAAAAGAGGGAGGAAGGAAAATAAAAGAGGGAGGGAGGGAGAGAAGGAAGGAAGGAAGATGGAAGAGAGGGAGGGAGGGAGGAGAAAGAGAGAGGAAGGGCGGAAGGAAGGAAAAGAGGGAGGGAGGAAATAAGGAAGGAAAATAGAAGAAGGAGGGAGGAACAGGAGACAAGCAGAGGAAGGAAAGAAGAGGAAAAGAAGGGGAGGGTAATATTTCAAATTCAAGGTCTGGTAACGAGAAGGAAGGAAGGGAGAAGGGATGGATGGAAGGAGCAGGAGACTGTATCCCATTCCAGACAAAATGGCTCTCCAGTCTCTTCTTAAAAACCTCCAGTGATGGAGCACCCACAACTTCTGGTGGCAAGCAGTTCCACTGATTAATTGTCCTCACTGTTAAGAAAGTTTCTCCTTAGTTCTAAGTTGCTTCTCTCCTTGATTGGTTTCCATCCGTTGCTTCTTCTCCTGCCTTCAGCTGCTTTGGAGAATAATTTGACCCCCTCTTCTTTGGGGCTGCCCCCTCAAAGGTAATTTAAATCATTTCAACCCCCTTTTCTCTTCCTCAAATACAGATTCCTGGACGAATACGCCAAGTATAATCTGACTTTCTGGGCCATAACGGCTGGCAACGAGCCGACGGCTGGAGACATTATCTTCTACCCTTTCCAATGTCTTGGATTTTCACCCGAACACCAGCGAGATTTCATCGCTGAAGATCTGGGGCCGGCTTTAGCCAACAGCAGCTACAAGGGCATCGAGCTGATCATTTTGGACGACCAGAGGGTGATGCTGCCTTACTGGGCCGAAGTGGTAAGTTGGCCGCCGCCACCACGGGCTGAATTTAAGATGAGCCTTTTCTAAAAGGGGGGAGAAAAAATTGCATTTGTAGTTTTCAGCAACCCGAACGTTTCATATATAAACAGTCCTTGGGTTACGAATGTTAAGGGAGCACGGATTTGCGATCGTAAGTTGGGGTGCTCATTATGTAGGTTAGCAATATGCCTGATGTTATACCAAGGACCCACAGTCCTCCTCCTCCTCCTCCTCCTCCTCCTCTTCCTCCTTGCAAACTTTTCTCCCTTCCAGCACTGATGAAGTTACCTAGTTGGGTCCTGAAACGTTTGCAAGAAAGCCACCAACTTCAGAGAGTATCAGGGACTCCACAGTCATTGTCTTCTTCTTCTTTCTTTCTTCCTTCTTCCTTCTTTCTCCTTCTCCTCCTCCTCCTCCTCTCCGCAAACCCTTCTCCCTTCCAGCACTGATGATGTTACCTAATTGGGTCGTGAAACGTCTGCGAGAAAGCCACCAAGCTCGGAGACCACCAAGTTCCCCACTGTTGTTCTTGTTGCGTTTGCTGTCGTCATCATCGTCCTCCTCCTCCTCCCCTCCTCCTCTTCCATTCTAGCAGTGATAATGTTACATAGTACGGTCATTAAATGTCTGCAAGGAAACCACTCAGCCCAGAGACCACCGAGGACCCCACCGTCCTCCTCCTCCTCCCCTCTTCCTCCTCCTCCTCCTCCTCCTCCTCCTCCTCCTCCTCCTCCTCCTCCTCCTCCTCCTCCTCCTCCTCCATTTTAGCCCTGATAATGTTACCTAGTTGGGTCACAAAACGTCTGCTAGAGAGCACTCACAGAAAAATCTTCCAATGGTAGCTTCCTAACTTCCTTTCCCATAATCATTCTCAGAAATTCTGGAATTTCTTGCTAGTCAACCTAAGGAGCTGCCAACCGTCTACCTATCCCGCACGACGCCAGAAAAAAATAACCCTGGCGTTTTGGTTATTTCTCCAGGTTCTCAAAGACCCCAAAGCTACCCAATACATCAACGGGATTGGAATCCACTGGTACCTGGACTTCTTGGCCCCCATCGACCTGACGCTGTCCATCACCCATCACCTCTTCCCCAACTATTATCTCATCTCCACCGAGGCCTCGACGGGCTCCTATTTTTGGGAGCCCCGGGTGGTGCTGGGCGGCTGGGATCGCGGCAGCAAGTACAGCCACAGCATCCTGACGGTAAGGTGGGGACCGTCATCGGAGTGTGGGTTGGCTGGGATAAGAGGAGGGCAAAGAGACGATGCCGTTTCGACTTTCCTCCGCAGAATCTCAACAATTACGTCACCGGGTGGACGGACTGGAATCTGGTTTTGGACATGGAAGGGGGACCCAACTGGAGCAAGAATTACGTGGACAGTCCGGTGATTGTAGATAAGGAGAAAGACGTCTTTTACAAACAGCCCATGTTCTACCACATGGCTCATTTCAGGTGAGCTCAGATTCCGCCGTTATATTTTCTATTTCTATATTTCTATTTGTGTATTTATGTTCTTCTCTATACTCTCTCTATATTCTCTCTATTTCTATCCTTCTCTATTTCTCTATTTCTCTTTTTTGTTTTTTACATTTCTATACTGTACTTCTATTGGTATATTTCTATACATTCTATATTTCTATATTTAATTCTCTATTTCTGTATTTCTATTTCTCTCTATTTCTATACTTCTAGATGCTCTCTATATGCCCTCTATTTCTTTACTTCTATTTTTTTTTTACATTTCTAATTCTATACTTCTATTGGTATATTTCTATACTTCTATTCCTCTATTTCTTCTCTATTTCTATTTTTCTATTCTTCCATTTGTATATTTCTATACTTCTATATACTCTCTATATACTCTCTACTTCTCTACTTCTATTTTTTTTACATTTCTATACTTCTATATGCTTCTATTTCTCTATTTCTTCTCTATTTCTCTATTTCTATTTCTCTCTATTTCTGTACATCATTTGTATATTTCTATATATACTCTCTATATGCCCTCTATTTCTCTATTTCTTTACTTCTCTATTTCTATTTCTTTTACATTTCTATACTTCTATTGGTATATTTCTATAGTTCTAGATGCTTCTTTTTCTCCTTTTCTTCTCTATTTCTGTATTTCCATTTCTCTATATTTCTATACTTCCAATTGTATATTTCTATACTTCTCTATACTCTCCATTTACTCTCGATTTCTTTACTTCTCTATTTCTGTATTTCTGTTTGTCTACATTTCTATACTTCCAATTGTATATTTCTGTACTTCTATATACTCTCCATATACTCTCGATTTCTTTACTTCTTTACTTCTCTATTTCTGTATTTCTGTTTGTCTATATTTGTACGCTTCTATATTTCTATATGATTTTGGGGGGGGGAATGCCCACTTCTTGTGCCTCTTTTCCCCGCGTAGCAAATTCCTCCCGGAGGGGACTCAACGGATCGAAATCCAGAAAAGCAGCTCCTGTAGTTTGGAATTCTCTGCTTTCCTCCGTCCAGACGGCTCGGCAGCTGTCGTGGTCTTGAACAGGTGAGCGGCAGGTAATGGTGCCATCACTGCAAAGGGACGCTCGTGGTGGAAACTGTACCCTCAAAACTGGAGGCTCCTTGTCGTTTTGCCTTTAAATTCCTGATTAGGTCCTCCAAAACCTTCCTCGTTATTCTGTTATTCTGCTTGAGCAGAGAGTTGGACTGGAAGATCTCCAACACAGGTTTATTTATTTAATTTATTTATTTAATTAATTTTTACACCGGATGTCAGCGTCCCAGCACTGACATATATAAAGAGAGGAGAAGCTTGAACTTTCGCCTACTTAATTCCTTTGAAGATTCTGTCTCCTCGGAGATGGGAGGAGGGGGGAGACATTCCTGTGATCTGACGGAGAAGGGATGAGGAGAGTGGCTTGGAAGATAGCCAATGAGAAGCAGAGAATTGGGGATCGGAAAGGGAGGGATTGGGGGGGGGGTAAAGGTCAGTACTGACCGCGAAAGAGCCAGGATCAGATCGCTATGCTCAATAAAGAGAAAATTTCCTCCAAGATCGGCAGTGTGGAAATTCATTTATTTTGAGATAGCATCGAAACCTGACCGACAGTTAGTTCACCCGAAGGACTCAGGGCGGTGAACAGTTAAAATAACATACATATAAAATGTGAATATAAGATGATTAAGCCAATTTGGTTCATCGGTTAAGAATCTTCAGCCTAAAGATTTAGAACAATTAGAAGAGATTTACGCCAGCCGGCACGACGGGTTTATAGAGATTTCTGTTCTTTCTCACGGTGATCTTGCCCCTTCCTTTTCAGATCCCCCAAGGATATCCCTTTCGGGATCTCAGATCCGGGGTGGGCTACATCGAGACCATCGCTACGGCCGACTCCATCCAGACGTACCTCTGGCAACGTCCTACAGAGGAATGAGGAGCTAAGAGTTTGGGGAATGGGGGCTCAACGAAACCCCCCCACCCCCCCAGCCAGAAGCCATTGGAATCAAACCCTTTCTTTGCAGGAGGAAAAAAAAAATAAGGGGAGTGGGAGCGACAGAATCCTGGGGAAGGGTCTGTTTTGACTAAACCCTGCATTAACCGGAGATTGCCGCGTAGTCTGACGTAGTCTTATGATCTGCTGAATTAAGATTCAACCTGCTTCTCCTTTGTTACCTTCCCACATCTCTTCGTTTTTTCGGAATAAATCTTGTTTTTTTTTCTAGAAACACACCTGGTTGAGTTTTTTTTTTCCCTGAGCTCTAATAATTCCTTAAAGGTAAAGGTTCCCCTCGCACGTATGTGCTAGTTGTTCCCGACTCTAGTGGGGAGGTGCCAGTGGTAAAATCCCAAATTTTTTTACTACCGGTTCTGTGGGCGTGGCTTAGTGGGCGTGGTGTGGCTTGGTGGGCGTGGCAGAGGAAGGATACTGCAAAATCCACATTCCCTCATCACTCCTGGGGAAAGGGTATTGCAAAATCTCCATTCCCACCCCACTCTGGGGCCAGCCAGAGATGGTATTTGACGGTGCTCCGAACTGCTCAAAATTTCCGCTACCGGTTCGTCAGAACCTGTCAGAACCTGCTGGATTTCACCCCTGGGAGATGCTCATCTCCGTTTCAAAGCCGAAGAGCCAGCGCTGTCTGAAGACGTCTCCGTGGTCATGTGGCCGGCATGACTCAACGCCAAAAGGCACACGGAACGCTGTTCCCTTCCCACCAAAGGTGGTCCCTGTTTTTTCTACTCGCATTTTTTTACGTGCTTTCGAACTGGGAGGTTGGCAGAAGCTGGGACAAGTCACGGGAGCTCACCCCGTTACGCGGCACGAGGGATTCGAACCTCTGAACTGCCGACCCTTTCGATCGACAAGCTCAGGGTCTTAGCCACTGAGCCACCGCGTCCCTATAATTCCTTACACCACGTTTATATAATCTTGAGTTATTTCATGGATCTCTAGAGCACCCATCCGTAATCCTTTCATTATTTTTTGGGGAATCTTTCTCTTTATTCTCTTCTTTATTTTGAATTCTTAAAAGAGTAATAATCCGTCTGTTCCATTTTGGCTGTTCCCTCTCTCTCTCTCTCTCTATATATATATATAATCAAGACTCCTATTACAACCAATTATAGTCTTTAATTTACGGCTCAGTGATTGTTAAAAGTTACAACGGCCCTGAAAAATGTGACTCGGGACCGTTTTTGACTCTTATGACCGCTGCAGCATCACATGATCAAAATTTCAGTCTCTTGGCAACTGACTCATATTTATGACGGTGGCAGACTCCCGGTAGTCACGCGATCCCCTTTTGCATTCTTCGGACAAGCTGAGTCCACGAGGAAGCCAGATTTACTTAATAACAGTGCGACTAACCGTGGCGGGAAAAGTTGGGCAAAACTCACGGGACAACCGTCTCGCTTAGCAACGGACGTTTGGGGAGCTGTTGGGGTCGTTAAGTCGAGGACTACCTGTCTAAATAAGGAACAAAGAACAGACCAGCGGTTAAACCAGCACCTCCCTTTGATTTATTGAGCTTGATTACCCCGGAATGGATTAAAAAAAAGTTTTTGAGACAGCGGTACCGGAGTCAGCTTGGCCATACAAAAAAAAAAATTTTTTTTTTAAGTCTGTTGGAAGCCGGTACAGGAAAACGGTGCCGGTTTTCCTCACTCCTCTTCCTCTTCTTCTTCCGCCTCGTCCAGAGTGATGGCGTGCGGGCCGGCATGGTGTGGGGTGTCTTTCTGGATGGACACGATCCCGGACAGGAAGGCGTAGCCCACCATGGCCACCAGCGCAACCAGGACGGAGAGGAACTGGTTGCGTCGCTTGTGAGTCTCCCCTTCGGCGTCGCTGACGTCGCCGGAGGCCGCTTTGTGGAGGTTGGGTGGGGGATCCCCTGCAGAAGAGGCAAAACCGGTTCAAGGAACGGCTTCGATCCGGGGAGAAGCCATGCCAAAAGTTTGGCGCTTAGCGGCCGTCGTTCGAAGGTACGACGGATGGTACGACCTGGGGCTAGGATGCAGGACCCATTTGAAGTTCCTTCCTTCCTTGGGGGCTGGACTAGAAGACCTCCAAGTTCCCTTCCAACTCTGTTATTCTGTTATCCTTCCTTTCCTTCCTTCCTTGTCTGACTTCCTTCCTTTCTCCCTCCTCTCCTTCCTTCCTCCCTTATCTGTCTTCTTCTTTCCTTCCTCTCTCCCTCCTCCCTTCCTCGCTTATCTGTTTCCTTCCTTCCTTCTCTCCCTCCCTCCTTCCTCCCTTGTCTGTTTTCTTCCTTCCCTCCTTCCTTCCTTCCTCGTCTGTCTCCTTTTTTCCTCCCCTCCCTCCCTTCCTCCTCCCTTGTGTTTCCTTCCCTCCTCCCTTGTCTGTCTCCTTCTTTCCTTCCCTCCCTCCTTCCTCCCTTGTCTGTTTCCTTCCTTCCCTCCCTTCTTCCCTTCCTTCCTCCCTTGTCTGTCTTCTTCTTTCCTTCCTCTCTCCTCCTCCCTCCCTCCCTTGCCTGTTTCCTTCCTTCCCTCCCTCCCTTCCTTCCTCCCTTGTCTGTCTCCTTCTTTCCTTCCCTCCCTCCTTCCCTCCCTTCCTTGTGTTTCCTTCCCCTTCCTCCCTTGTCTTCTTCTTTCCTTCCTCCCTCCCTCCTCCCTTGTCTGTCTCCTTCTTTCTTTCCTTCCCTCCCTCCTCCCTTGTCTGTCTTCTTTCCTCCCTTCCTCCTTCCTGTCTTCTTCCTTCCTTCCTTCCTTCCTCCCTTGTCTGTTTCCTTCCTTCCTTCCTCTTGTCTGTCTCCTTCCTTCCTTCCTTTCCTTCCTTCTGTCCCTCCCTTCCAATTCTGTTATTCTGCTATCCTTCCTTCCTTCCTTCCTTCCTTCCTCCCTTCCCTTCCCTTCCCTCCTTCCAGTTTTCAAGAGGGGATTAGACAACTTGTCTGAAATGGGGGATATCCTTGAGCAACTGTTGGCTCGGAGACCTCCGAAGTCCCGTCCCACTCCGTTATTCTGTTACAGCTGCTCACCCGTAACCGAGAACCGTCCCGGAGGATCTTCCTCCAAGCGGGAGCAAACTCACCTCCGTCCCACGGGAAATAAAGGCTCAAAATAGACGTGCAAAAGTTGCAGAGGTTTGGAAGCGATTTCAGGTGCTGCTGGAACTTCGCGCTGGGAAGTTTGGCGTTGAAGAGGCCGGCTAGAAGACTGAAGACGGAGGCGTCCAGGGAGGCAGGTCTGAAAAGGAGAAGGCATAACAAGGCACAATCAAGAGATTCGGCCCCAGCCTGCGACAGTCCTCGACTTGCGACCAAAATTGAGCCCGCAATTTATGTCGCTAAGCGAGACTTTTTTTTTTTAAAGTGAATTTTTTTGTCCCATTGAACCATCTTCCTTGCGAGAGTTGTTAAGGCAATCACTGCAGTTCTTAGCTGAGTCACACGGTTGTTAAGTGAATCATCCCCCCCCCCGGGTAACTTTGCTTGTCCGACCCGGGACTCTGCGACCGTCATAAATACGAGTCAGTTTTTTTGATCATGGGACCGTGGAGATGCTATAGTGTCCGTCACCATCATCATCATCATTTAACAACCCCATATTCCTTTGGGGGGTGGAATCTCGAATGGAGCTAGCAGTGTTTTTAATGGCCGGATGCCTTTCCTGTCACCAGGGCGGAGTTTTGTTCAGCAGATAATATTCTCATCGTGCCCAGAGAGAGAACGATCAACCTCTACCGAGGATCGATCTCACAGTCTCCCGATTGTGAGGCCAGAGCTCCACTTCTAGCCCACCGCACCACTCAGATGCGGCAACAGCCGTGAGTGCGAAAAACGGGCCCGTCGCTTTTTTTTTCCCGGCGACGTAACTTCGAACGGTGGCTAAACGATAGGTTGTAAGACGAGGAATGTCCGTGTTTTAGTGTTCGCTGAACGTCCGCTAAGTCTCAATCCCAATTTCCATCGTATGTCGAGGACCACCTGGAACAGGGAATTTAAGACTCCTCTGTTTTATTTGGGATGCTCGACTCCCGAGTTACTTACGAGTCGCCAAAGAAGAATTTCTTCCTGCCGAGGCGTTGAGACAGCAAAGTGAGGCACTCGCAGCCGTCTCGATAAAGCTGCAGGTATAAAAAAAAAATAAAAAATACATCGTCGGCTCAAAGCCGTGCCCAATACTTGCACAGAGCTTCCCTGGCTAAGAGAAGTCTATCTGCTTCTTTATTTTACGCCGTTTTTAACCACCCGTTCTGGGACGTCCTTTTCCCGGGCGTTCCTTCCTTTACCTGTTTTTCCAGTTGCTCTTCGTCGTCCTGCCAGTTTTCCCGCAGACCGTCTGCAAACGCTCCAGCTGCCGTTTTCTGCATTCGGCTCGGCAGGAAGAAATTGAGCGGGAACGGAATGGCTTCCGCGTACCACTTCCGCGTGTGCTCGACGTAATTCTTTGCGTCCACCCAGAAAGTATGGATCTGTCGGAAGGGAGGAGAATCCCAACGGTGACTTCCCTCAACCGGAACAGCGGGGAAAATTTTTTAAAAAAAAAAAAAAAAACAACCCCAAGGCAAGCAATGTTTCTAGTCCTCATGAGGGAAAGTTTTTTTCCCCCAAATCGGTGAGGCTAGATGCGATAGAACGATTTTATACCCCTTCCCGCCCCACAAAAAAAAAATAAAGGAATGAGGAGGTTAAAACAGACAAAATTTATCAAACTAACCGCCATCGGTCCACAAAGCTTGCCATCTCGGCTTATGGGCAAAACAGACCACGAATGGTTGCTTCGCTCAAAACCAAAGGGAGCTAGTTGGACACTTGAAGCAAATAATAATAATAATAATAATAATAATAATAATAATAATAATAATAATAATAATAATAATAATAATAATAATAATTAATAATAGTAGTAGTAATAATAATAATAGTAATAATAATAATATAGTCCTTAGATTTACGGCCACAACTTTTAAGTTGCTGAGCGAGGCAGTTGTTAAAAAGTGTAATTTTACGGCCTTTTTTTGCCACCGTTGTTAAGCGAATCACTGCCGTTGTTGGGGCAGTTGTTAAAAGTGTGTGGCTTTACAGGCCTTTTTGCCACCGTCGTTAAACGAATCACTGCCATGGTTGAGCGAATCAGGTAGTCGCTAAGCGAATCCGGCTTCCCGCGTTGAACTTGGCTTGTGGGAAGCCGCGAATGGAGATCACGTGACTCCAGGAGGCTGCAGCCATCGTAAATACAGGCCAGTGGCCGAGCCTTTGAATTTTGATCACGAGGAATGCTACGACGGTCGTAAATGCAAGGACTGGTTGCAAGCGACTTTTTTCCCCCAATGCTGTTGTAACTTCCCACGCTCCCTAAACAAATCTTGTAAGTCGAGGATTACCTGCAATGCAGGTCAACCCAGATCCGGCCATGATCCCACCAGCTCTTGAACTCAAGACCGTGACACCACCGCCCCGTCTCCCCAAATTTCTTCTTCCTCCCCCCCCCCCACTCCCCAAACTTACCAACACGGGCAGGAGCTTCCTATGTACCAGAGAGAGGAAAGCTAGAGTGTCCGCTCCTTGCAACGCCGAGAGGTCGTAATCTGCATTAAATTGCTAAGTAAGAAAAAGAAAATAAAAATAAGAAAGGAATAGAATAGCCTGATTGCTTATTTGTTCCCTATGACTATCATTAAGTGTTGTACCTTATGATTCTTGACAAACGTATCTTTTCTTTTATGTATACGGAGAGCGTATCCACCAAGACAAATTCCTTGTGTGTCCAATCACACTTGGCCAATAAAGAATTCTATTCTATTCTATTCTATTCTATTCTATTCTATTCTATTCTATTCTATTCTATTCTATTCTATTCTATTCTATTCTATTCTATTCTATTCTATTCTACTCTATTCTATTCTACTCTATTCGAATAGAATAGAATAGAATAGAATAGAATAGAATAGAATAGAATAGAATAGAATAGAATAGAATAATGGAATGAACGAATAGAATAGAATAGAATAGAATAGAATAGAATAGAATAGAATAGAATAGAATAGAATAGAATAGAGGAAATAACAGGAAATAGAGAATGCATAGAGTAGAGTAGAGTAGAGTAGAGTAGAGTAGAGTAGAGTAGAGGAGTGGAGTGGAGTGGAGTGGAGTGGAGTGGAGTGGAGTAGAGTAGAGTAGAGTAGAGTAGAGTAGAGGAGTGGAGTGGAGTGGAGTGGAGTGGAGTGGAGTGGAGTGGAGTAGAGTAGAGTAGAGTAGAGGAGTGGAGTGGAGTGGAGTGGAGTGGAGTGGAGTGGAGTGGAGTAGAGTAGAGTAGAGTAGAGTAGAGTAGAGTAGAGGAGTGGAGTGGAGTGGAGTGGAGTGGAGTGGAGTGGAGTGGAGTGGAGTGGAGTAGAGTAGAGTAGAGTAGAGTAGAGTAGAGTAGAGGAGTGGAGTGGAGTGGAGTGGAGTGGAGTGGAGTGGAGTGGAGTGGAGTGGAGTAGAGTAGAGTAGAGGAGTGGAGTGGAGTGGAGTGGAGTGGAGTGGAGTGGAGTGGAGTAGAGTAGAGTAGAGTAGAGTAGAGGAGTGGAGTGGAGTGGAGTGGAGTGGAGTGGAGTGGAGTAGAGTAGAGTAGAGTAGAGTAGAGTAGAATAGGAGTAGAGTAGGAGTAGAGAATAGGAATAGAATATAGGAAATAGGAAATGAATAGAATTAGAGCGGAATGGAATGGAATGGAATAGGAGTTGGAGGGGACCTTGGAGGTCCCCTAGTCCAGCCCCCTACTCAAGCAAGGGAACCTATACCACCTCAGACAAGTGACTGTCCAGGGTTGGACTAGAAGGCCTCCAAGGTCCCTTCCCGCTCCATTCTATTCAAACAGGACCATCCATCCCTCCGTTCATACCTGTTTCCTAAAATGGGTGATGATTTCTTGCGTATCGGAAATAACCCGTCGGCTGTCTTGAGCGCCGGGAGCGATCCTGAGATGGAGGAAAACAGCAGGTTGGGTGAGAGGAGGGTGTGTGTGTGTGTGAAGCCCCATTTAAGCCCCCCCACCCACCCCTCTGCCCCAGGCTCAACACTCTCCCTCCCCACCCGTTTCCCCATCCCTCTTGAGGACTAGAAACCTGCCCCGCTTCCCAAGCCGTGGAAAAAAACAAATCAAAACTTTCGCATGCAACGAAAACCAAAACTTCCCCAGCCATTAAAATCAAAACTTTCCAAGCAATTCAGAGAGGTTTTTTTTTTCCCCTAACCACCCCCCCACCCCCCCAAAAAATATATATAACTTACCAGAGGGGCTTCTCCAGGGATTGGAGATTTTGTGAAGTTTGAGGGGCGCCCTGTGAATCGCGCGTAAGTCTGCAAGGCGATAAAAAGAGGAAGGAAAAAAAAAAAAGAGAGGAAAATGAATGAATGTATTTGGCCATTCGTTGCAAAAAAAAACAGACCCGATCGTCTTAATAATTTTAATAATCCAATTTATTCTTAATTTCTTCTTTAAAATTCTGCTTTGCAAGAATCTGCATTCTGGTCTCTTTTCTTTCGGCCGGGGGGAGGAAGGAAGGAAGGAAGGGGTTTGGGCTCCCAGGACCCTCTCCCCAATTTTCCTGAGCCCCCCCCCCCCCCAACATGCCCATGCCCTGCCTGGAACCCCTTGCAGCTGCAATGCCCCCCACCCGGGCACCCCGTTAGGGAAGAAGCCGGCCCCCTGTGCTTTGCAAAAAAAAAAAAAGCATTTTGATATATATATACATTTATATAGCTAGATAGCTAGATATAGATATAGATATACATTTTATATATATAAGCGTTTTGCAAAATAAATGCTTTGCAATATATTTATATATATAAAACAGCTTTGCAATTATAATATAAGCACTTTGCAAAATATATATATATATATATATATATATATTATATATATATATGTTTTGCAAAATATATATGAGCTTTGCAACATATATATATGAACTTTGCAATATATATATATATATATATGAGCTTTGCAAATATATATATATAAGAGCTTTGCAATATATATAAGCACTTTGCAATATATATATATATATATATATATATATATATATATATGCGTTTTGCAAATATATATATGAGCTTTGCAATATATATATATTTATATATATATATATATATATATATGAGCTTTGCAAAAAAAAATATATACAGCTTTGCAATATATATATATATGAGCTTTGCAAAAAATATATATATATAAGAGCTATGCAATATATATAAGCACTTTGCAATATATATATATATATATATATATATATATATATATTATATATGCGTTTTGCAAATATATATATGAGCTTTGCAATATATATATATTTATATATATATATATATGAGCTTTGCAAAAAAATATATATAAGAGCTTTGCAATATATATATCTATATGAGCTTTGCAAAAAAAAATATATATATATAAGCGCTTTGCAAAATATATATATATATAAGCGCTTTGAAAAAAAAATATATAAGCATTTTGTAATAATATTATATATATATATATATATATGAGCTTTGCAATATATATATAAGAGCTTTGCAATATTAATGTATTGTATATATATATGAGCTTTGCAAAATATTATATATATAGAAGCGCTTTGCAAAATAAAAAAATTCGATTTGCAAAATAAAAATAAAAAACCCCGCCTTGGAAAGGTTTGCAAAAGCTGCTTCCCCCCCCCCACCCTCCCCTCACCAAAACGGCCAAGCAATCGGGGTCCACGGTGGGCAACCCCCACCCGCCGGCCCAGCAATACAACTCCATGGGCGCCGCCATCTTTCCACGCCTTGCCTAACCGGAACAGCCTTGCACGAGAGAGAGAGAGAGAGAGAGAGAGAGAGCAAAAGAGGAGTGACTCCGATTCATGCAACTCCAGACTTCTGGGGCTCTTCCGCCCTCCTCTGTCCCGGCTTGCAAAATGCAATCCCGGTGCATCCTTCAGCCTTCCCCCTTCCCCCACTTCTTTGCTTTGCTGCCCTTCACACGTTCCTAGGAGACACGTGTTGGGTTGCAAAAAGAGGGCGGGGATGGGTTTAGCCCCCTGGGTCTAAAGCGACGTTAGCCAGGGGTCTTAGGAAGCAGGTTGCGTGCTAAAGGGGATGGATTTGGGGGGTTTTTTTGAGGGAGGGGTCGTGAGAACCCTTGCAAATGCCTTGCGAAAGGGAGAGGCTGCCTTGGAGGTTAAAAGTAGAAGGGTGGGTGGATTGCAAAGCCCAGAATGCTGGGCTGCAAAGCCCAGAATCCTGGGCTGCCTGCTCTTACCCAATCTGTTGCTATTTAAAAGTTCTAGACTAGAGCAATGTTCAACTTTTAAGAGGGGTGGGCTTCAATTCCCAGCCAGCCTGCTTTGAAGGGGGATTTATTTTCATGTCCCAGAATCCCCCAGCCGGCATGCTTTAAGGGGGGTGGGCTTCCACTCCCAGAATCCCCAGCCAGCAGGCTTTATTTATTTATTTATTTATTTATTTATTTATTTATTATCAAACTTCTATACCGCCCTTCTCCTTTCGGACTCAGGGCGGTGAACAGCCAAAATAAAAACATTTATACATAACATTACAATTAAAAACAGATTTAAAATAATTAATAAATTTGGCCCATAATTTAAAATTTGTCAATTTAAAATCAGTATCATTTAAGAGGGGTGGGCTTCAACCCCCAGAATCCCCCAGCCAGCATGCTTTAAGAGGGGTGGGCTTCCACTCCCAGAATCCCCCAGCCAGCATGATTTAAGAGGGGTGGGCTTCCACTCCCAGAATCCCCCAGCCAGCAGGCTTTAAGAGGGGTGGGCTTCCACTCCCAGAATTCCCCAGCCAGCAGGCTTTAAGAGGGGTGGGCTTCCACCCCCAGAATCCCCCAGCCAGCATGATTTAAGAGGGGTGGGCTTCCACTCCCAGAATCCCCCAGCAGCAGGCTTTAAGAGGGGTGGGCTTCCACTCCCAGAATCCCCCAGCCAGCAGGCTTTAAGAGGGGTGGGCTTCCACTCCCAGAATCCCCCAGCCAGCATGATTTAAGAGGGGTGGGCTTCCACTACCAGAATCCCCAGCCAGCATGCTTTAAGAGGGGTGGACTTCCACTCCCAGAATCCCCCAGCCAGCATGATTTAAGAGGGGTGGGCTTCCACTACCAGAATCCCCCAGCCAGCATGCTTTAAGAGGGGTGGACTTCAACTCCCAGAATCCCCCAGCCAGATTCCTAGTAAAACCTTCCTTTTTTTTTTTTAATGAATTTTAGATTCCTAGTAAAACCTTCCATCTCTGTTATTATTCCGTTATTCTGCTTGGACTAGAAGACCTCGAAGGACCCTTCCATCTCTCTTATTCTGGTTATTATTCTGTTACTATTATTCTGCTTGATCGGGGTTGGACTAGAAGACCTCCGAGGTCCCTTCCATCTCATTGTTATTCTATCATCTTCCTTTTCAACCCCTCCTCCAGCCGTATCCTTGGCCAGATCTCTCGAAAACTTCATTGGATGTGACGGGAACTTTCCGAAAGGGGGGAAAAAATTACAAGGAGGAGAAACGAGGTTAGGAAATAATCTCCCAGCGTAAGGAGGGCTGTGGGTCTGTGGGAATTTGCTCCCATCCAAACCAGATGAGGCAGATGGCCGGGAGAAATTCCATTCGGCCTTACATCATCTTCTATTTCCTCCGCGAGCCATTCCTTTCGGAGATAACCTCATTTGGAGCATCTCCAGGAAGCCCTTCGGTCCTCCCATCCCAAGAATTACATATAATTTCTTTTAAAAAAAAAACAAAACAGATCAGAGGGAGAAAAAGAACAAAAGGATATCTGACTTCGTACGTTCGTTCGGCCGGCCAAAGGAAGGAATCTTGGCGATGTTTAATTCTGGTTTTTCCCCAAAAGTCGATTCGATCGGCTGAAGAAAAAAGAGCGAGCTTTTCGGGTGATAGGGGCTCCGCTTAAATTTAAAAAAAACAGAAAAAGGGGGTCTGTTAATGGAAGGACGGCTTCTTTTCCCTAATGCAAAATTTGTAGCGGGGAAAGAGGCTGGTCCTTCAATTAACAGATATGAGAGAGAGAGATAGGATAGATCGATCGATCGATCGATCGATTGATAGATACCCTGTTTCCTCCAAAATAAGACATCTGATAATAAGCTCAATCGGGCTTTTGAGTGCATGGCAATAAGGCCAAGCGTTTCTTTCAGGGTTCAAAAAAAATATAAGACGGTCTTATTTTTGAAGAAACATGGTAGATAGATACGTAGATATTAGTTAGATAGATAGATAGATAGATAGATAGATAGATAGATAGATAGATAGATAGATAGATAGATGATAGATAGATAGATAGATATAGATTAGAGAGAGAGAGAGACCGATAGAGAGATATAGATAGATGATAGATAGATAGATAGATAGATAGATAGATAGATATAGAGGAGAGAGAGAGAGAGAGAGAGACTGATAGAGATAGATGATAGATAGATATAGATTAGAGAGAGAGAGACCAATAGAGAGATATAGATAGATGATAGATAGATAGATAGATAGATATAGATTAGAGAGAGAGAGAGACCGATAGAGAGATATAGATAGATAGATAGATGATAGATAGATAGATAGATAGATAGATAGATAGATAGATAGTAGAGAGAGAGACTGATAGAGATAGATAGATGATAGATATAGATTAGAGACCGATAGATAGATATAGATAGATAGATAGAGAGTAGAGAGAGAGAGAGACTGATAGAGATAGATAGATGATAGATATAGATTAGAGAGAGAGAGAGACCAATAGAGAGATATAGATAGATAGATAGATAGATAGATAGATAGATAGATAGATAGATAGATAGATAGATAGATATAGATTAGAGAGAGAGAGAGACCGATAGATATAGATAGATGATAGATAGATAGATAGATAGATAGATAGATAAATAGATAGATAGATAGATAGATTAGAGAGAAAGAGACCGATAGAGAGATATAGATAGATGATAGATAGATATAGATTAGAGAGAGAGAGAGAGACCGATAGATAGATAGATAGACAGACAGACAGGTTAGAGAGAGATACCGAGAGAGAGAGAGATGAGAGATAGAGATAGATAGATAGATATAGATTAGAGAGAGAGAGAGATAGGGTAGATAGATAGATAGATAGATAGATAGATAGATAGATAGATAGATAGATAGATAGATAGATAGATAGAATGTTAGATAGGTTAGAGAGAGAGAGAGAGTGATAGATATTAGAGAGAGAGAAGAGAGAGAGAGAGAGAATAGAGAGATAGGTTAGAGAGAGATACCGATGGATGGAGGGAGATATGTAGATAGCTATAGATATATAGATATTTCAATTAACACACATATAGGATTAGTTGATAGAATATTGAGTAATTTCATATTTAAATTAAAATATTACTGATTTAATGTGATTTAAATCACATGATCTCTTAGGTCGAAACAGATCCACAAAATCCCACCATCCTAGCTCATTCCAGAGGCCAGTCTTGAATTCGGCCGGGGGTGGACTAGAAGACCTCCAAGGTCCCCTTCCTTCCAGCCCTCGGGATTCTATGATAAATTTAATGTTTGGTTCGTATTTCCCACCAGCAGCACCAAGTGGGATCCGGAGTAAATGTTATCCCCAGATTACCTTTCCAGATTTCTACATTTCCAGATTTCTTTTTAACTTTTCCAAACTTCTCCGCCAGCTCCGCGAAGGGAAAAGGTTGCGAAATTTTCCGTCGAGCCTTTTGTGACCCAAATAACGAAAATTCCTGCGGCTTGACGACATAATGGATGTATCCTTGCATAAGCCTGAAATAAAATCCCAGTCCAATTTTCTTTGCAAATCACCCCTCTTGGGTAATTCCTTCCAAGCTTCCAGAAACTCCCTGCTACAAGATTTGAGGCGGGATAAATCAAAATAAACTCTGGGGCGTGTTACGGGAGATCATAATGAGAAAAGGGTGGATTATAATTGCCATTATTTATTTTTTATTTTTTACGCAAGATGGTTGGGCTGAATTTGAAAAAAGGGAGCCGCCCAGAATGGGCAGCTGTATCGATTGCAACAATAAATAAAAGAAGAAGAAAAAAAATAAAATAAATAAAAATCCAGATTTGCCTTCCTTTCCCTGGGATTCCACGATGAACGAAAACCCCAGAAAAGGAGGAAGAGGAGGAGGAAGAAGAGGAGGAGGAGGAGGCTGGCGTGAAGGAGAGAGAAACTTAATTTCCAGAGCTTGAGAAAAACAAAGGAGAAGGACTTGGAAGGAAGGAAGGAAAGGAGGGAGGGAAGGGAATGGAAAGGAAAGAAGGAGGAAAGGAAGGAAGGAAAAGGAAGGAGGAAGGAAGGAAGGAAAAGGAAGGAAGGAGATCCTTTGTGCTCCCAATCGGCTGCATTTTTCCTGGAGGAAAGGAGGGAGGGAAGGGAAAGGAAAGAAGGAGAAAAGGGAGGAAGGAAAAAGAAAGAAGGAAGGAAAAGGAAGGAAGGAAAAGGAAGGAAGGAGATCCTTTGTGCTCCCGATCGGCTGCATTTTTCCTGGAGGAAAGGAGGGAGGGAAGGGAAAGGAAAGAAGGAGAAAAGGAAGGAAGGAAAAGAAAGGAGGAAGGAAGGAAGGAAAAGGAAGGAGGAAGGAAGGAAGGAAAAGGAAGGAAGGAGATCCTTTGTGCTCCCAATCGGCTGCATTTTTCCTGGAGGAAAGGAGGAGGGAAGGGAAAGGAAAGAAGGAGAAAAGGAAGGAAGGAAAAGGAAGGAAGGAAGGAGGAGATCCTTTGTGCTCCCGATCGGCTGCATTTTTCCTGGAGGAAAGGAGGGAGGGAAGGGAAAGGAAAGAAGGAGAAAAGGAAGGAAGGAGATCCTTTGTGCTCCCAATCGGCTGCATTTTTCCTGGAGGAAAGGAGGGAGGGAAGGGAAAGGAAAGAAGGAGAAAAGGAAGGAAGGAAAAGGAAGGAAGGAAGGAGATCCTTTGTGCTCCCGATCAGCTGCATTTTTCCTGGAGGAATTTTTCCCCCTCTGTCTGTCTGTCTGTCTGTCTTCCCTACCCAGATTTCCACCCACCCACTCACCCCAAAATAAGCAAGGCCACTCAGATGCAAACTGAACTTTCCAAAAAAGTTTTCTCTGCAAAGAAATTAAGGCTGTTGGAGAAAGGGGAGAAAAAAAAAAATCACACAGAATAATAGAAGTTGGACGGGACCTTAAGAGGTCTTCTAGCCCAACCCCTGCTGAGGAAGGAAACCCTATCCCATTACAGACTAACGGCGTCCCAAATTCTTCTAGAAAACCTCCGACCCATCACTTCTGGAGGCAAACTATCCCATGATTATTATTTTTTTTCTAATTGTCAATAAATTTCTCCTTATTTCTAAGTGGCTCCTCTCCTCGATGAGTTTCCATCCGTTGCTTCTTGTCCTGCCTTCGGGTGCTTTGGAGAATAGCTTGACTCCTGCTTCTTTTGGGGCAGCCCCTCAAATATTGGAAGGCTGCTTTCGTGTCGCCCCTGATCCTTCTTTTCGCTAGACATTATGCAACCATTTTGCCCCAAAAAGTCAGAAATCTCGGGACCGTATAGAATACAGAATAACAAAGAGTTGGAAGGGATTCTTGGAGATTCTATACCATTTCAGACAAATGGCTGTCCAGTCTCTTCTTAAAAGCCTCCAGTGATGGAGAAGGAAGGAAGGAAGGAAGGAAGGAAGGAAGGAAGGAAGGAAGGAAGGAAGGAAGGAAGGAAGGAAGGAAGGAAGGAAGGAAGGAAGGAAGGATAACACAGTTGGAAGGTCTTCTTGTCCAATCTCCTGCGGAAGGAAGGAAGGAAGGAAGGAAGGAATAACAGAGTTAGAAGGGATTCTTGGAGATTCTATACCCTTTCAAACAAATGGCTCTCCAGGCTCTTCTTAAAAGCCTCCAGTGATGGAGAAGGAAGGAAGGAAGGAAGGAAGGAAGGAAGGAAGGAAGGAAGGAAGGAAGGAAGGAAGGAAGGAGGAAGGAAGGAAGGAAGAAGGAATAAAAGAGTTAGAAGGGATTCTTGGAGATTCTATACCCTTTCAAACAAATGGCTCTCCAGGCTCTTCTTAAAAGCCTCCAGTGATGGAGAAGGAAGGAAGGAAGGAAGGAAGGAAGGAAGGAAGGAAGGAAGGAAGGAAGGAAGGAATAACAGAATTAGAAGGATTCTTGGAGATCCTATACCCTTTCAGACAAATGGCTGTCCAGTCTCTTCTTAAAAGCCTCCAGTGATGGAGAAGGAAGGAAGGAAGGAAGGAAGGAAGGAAGGACGGAAGGAAGGAAGGAAGGAAGGAAGGAAGGCAAGAAGGAATAAAAGAGTTAGAAGGGATTCTTGGAGATCCTATACAAATGGCTCTCGGTCTCTTCTTAAAAGCCTCCAGTGATGGAGAAGGAAGGAAGGAAGGAAGGAAGGAAGGAAGGAAGGAAGGAAGGAAGGAAGAAGGAAGGAAGGAAGGAAGGAAGGAAGGAAGGAAGGAAGGAAGGAAGGAAGGAAGGAAGGAAGGAAGGAAGGAAGGAATAACAGAGCTAGAAGGGATTCTTGGAGATCCTATTCCCTTTTAGACAAATGGCTCTCCGGTCTCTTCTTAAAAGCCTCCAGTGATGGAGAGGGAAGGAAGGAAGGAAGGAAGGAAGGAAGGAAGGAAGGAAGGAAGGAAGGAAGGAAGGAAGGAAGGAAGGCAGGCAAGAAGGAATAAAAGAGTTAGAAGGGATTCTTGGAGATCCTATACAAATGGCTCTCCAGTCTCTTCTTAAAAGCCTCCAGTGATGGAGAAGGAAGGAAGGAAGGAAGGAAGGAAGGAAGGAAGGAAGGAAGGAAGGAAGGAAGGAAGGAAGGAAGGAAGGAAGGAAGGAAGGACAAGAATTGGAAGGGAGCTTGGAGGTCTTCTAGTCCAAGACATTATCCCATTTAGACAAATCACCCAGACTTTCATGTAAAAAAAAAAAGAAAAAAGGAGGATATTTGGCATCTCGGCTGCCTCAAAGAGCCCCACTCTGAAGGGGGTGAGGGGGCACCCCCCAGCCACAGACCTTGTGGGCTTTGTGGTTTGGCACCCGAGCAGGAGCAGCTCCAAGGAGGTGTAAACCAGAGGACCCCCGTTGTTATGGTGGCCTGCAAACAAAACATAAACAGATTCCGGCCAGTTGCAAATCCAGATGAGGGTTTTTTTGGGGGGGGGGAGGAAGGGGGGGGGTTTCACCAGTCCTGCCCTTTCATTGCAAAATCGGCCGCTGGCAAAAAGCTGCCTGGCTCCCTTGGCAGAAACCGAGGAAAAAAATCCACCTCTCGGATCTGGAGTGGCTTGCAATTTTCTTTCTTTCTTTTTCTTTTTTCTTTCTTTCTTTCCCTTCCTTCCTCCCCTCCCTCCTTTCCTTTCGTTTCCCTTCCTTCCCTCCCTTTCCTCCTTTCCCCTTCCTTCCTTCTCCTTTCTTTTCCTTCCTTCCTTCCTTTTCCTTCCTTCCTTCCCTCCCTTTACTTTACTTTCCCTTCTTTCCTTCATCCTTTCTTTTCCTTCCTTCCTCCTTCCTTCCTTCCTTCCTTCCTTCCTTCCTTCCTTCCTTCCTCTCTCTGCTCTGCCCAAAGAGATGCTCTTACGAAGCCCGATCTGCCTTCCTTGCACACCCCTCCCACCCACCCAGACTGACTGCCCCGGCCTTTGGAGGTTCTACTCTTCTCCCCTTCCAGAACGGAGGTGGGGAAGAACCCGCTCAAAGGACACCAGCCCCCCCCACCCCAAAAAGGGGTAAGGAAAGTGTAGGAAGCTCAATTGGGTAGGGGGAGCTGACAGAGAGAGAGAGAGAGAGAGAGAGAGGGAGGGAGGGAGAGGGAGGGAGGGAGGGTGGGGGAGGTGGGGGGAATGTCTGCGTGAGTAAGGGGCTGGACTAAATGCCCTCAAAGCTCCCTTCCAACTCTGTTCCCATTAAAGGGGGGGAGGGGGGAAGGTCTGTGCGAGCAGGGGGTTGGACTAAATGACCTCCAAGCTCCCTTCCAACTCTGTTCCCATTAAAGGGGGGGAGGGGGGGAAGGTCTGTGCGAGCAGGGGGTTGGACTAAATGACCTCCAAGCTCCCTTCCAACTCTGTTCCCATTAAAGGGGGGGAGGGGGGGAAGGTCTGTGCGAGCAGGGGTTGGACTAAATGACCTCCAAGCTCCCTTCCAACTCTGTTCCCATTAAAGGGGGGGAGGGGGGAAGGTCTGCGTGAGTAAGGGGCTGGACTAAATGATCTCCAAGCTCCCTTCCAACTCGTTCCCATTAAAGGGGGGGAGGGGGGAAGGTCTGCGTGAGTAAGGGGCTGGACTAAATGATCTCCAAGCTCCCTTCCAACTCTGTCCTCTTAAGGTGGGAGGGGGGAAGGTCTGTGTGAGCAGGGGGTTGGACTAGATGTCCTCCAAACTCCTTCCAACTCTGTTCCCGTTAAAGGTGGGAGGGGGGAAGGTCTGTGCGAGCAGGGGGCTGGACTAGATGTCTCCAAGCTCCCTTCCAACTCTGTTCCCATTAAAGGTGGGGGGAGGGAAGGTCTGTGCGAGCAGGGGGCTGGACTAAATGACCTCCAAGCTCCCTTCCAACTCTGTTCCATTAAAGGTGGGAGGGGGGAAGGTCTGTGCGAGCAGGGGGCTGGACTAGATGTCCTCCAAGCTCCCTTCCAACTCTGTTCCCATTAAAGGTGGGGGGAGGGGAGGTCTGTGCGAGCAGGGGGCTGGACTAAATGACCTCCAAGCTCCCTTCCAACTCTGTTCCCATTAAAGGGGGGGAGGGGGGAAGGTCTGCGTGAGTAAGGGGCTGGACTAAATGACCTCCAAGCTCCCTTCCAACCCCGTTCCGTTAAAGGATGCTCGCCTTTCCCCTCTGCTGTTGGAATTCTCCCTGCTCCCCTTGAAAGCCGGGGAGAGACCCTTCCCCCTTGGGGACCGCTGGAGGGACCCCACCCCACCCCATCCCATCCGGCCCCCCCCCCATCATCCTCAACCCCCCCCACCCACCCACCCCATCCCCGCCTTGCCAGCGCTGGCAGCTGCTGAGCTGGGGAAGGGGAGGGCGTTGCCTTCCCTCCCTCCCTCCCTCCCTCCGTCCCCAGCCCGCGCCGCCCCCTTCCTCGGGGGGGACCCCCGCTCGGCCGGCCGCCGCGATGGAGCCGCGGTCCACCAGCCTCCGCCGGAGGAGACCCCTGCCCGCCGCCTTCCTCCTCCTCTTGCTTTGGGGCGCAGGCCAGCGAGGGCTGCCCGGCGCGAGTTGCAAGGTAAGGGAGCGCGGGGGGCGCCCGGTTGCAAATGCCAGGACCCCCAACCCAAATGCAAAGAATTGGGGGGTGGGGAGATGATGCTGCTTTCCGCCGCCCCCCCCCCGGGCTCGGCTTGGCTCGGTTGGGGCGGCTGAGGATCCAGGAGGAGAAAGGAGAAGACTTTTCTCCCCCATCGGGGGTGGGTTGGGGGGCGAGAGACCCCCACCCCTCGGTTGGGGGGTAAGGGGGTGGGCAGAAGCCGCTGCCCCCATCATGCAGGCGGAAAGACTGAGGCTGCCGCGGGGGGTTTCTTTTGCAAGCGTGGAGGGGGGGAGGATCCGTCTTTCTTTCTCCTCCCTCCCTCCCTTTCTTCCATCTTTTCCCCTTCTTCCCTTCTTCCCTCCCTTCTTTCTTTCTTTCCTTCTTTCCTTCCCTTTCTCCTCTCTCCCTTCCATTCTTCCATGTCTTTTTCTTCCTTCCTCCTTTCCTTGCTTCCCTTCTTCCTTCCTTCCCACCCTCTCTCCCTATTCCTTCCTTCACTCCCTCTCTTTTCCTTCCTTCCTTCCTTCCCTTTCTCCTCTCTCCCGTCCATTCTTCCTTGTCTTTCTTCCTTCCTTCCTTTCCTTGCTTCCCTTTTTCTTTCCTTCCCACTCTCCCTCCCTATTCCTTCCTTCCTTCCCTCCCTCTTTTTTCCTTCCTTCCTTCTCTTTCTCCTTTCTCCCATCCATTCTTCCTTGTCTTTTTCTTCCTTCCTCCTTTCCTTGCTTCCCTTCTTCCTTCCCACTCTCCCTCCCTATTCCTTCCTTCCTTCCTTCCTTCCTTCCTTCCTTCCTTCCTTCCTTCCTTCCTTCTCTTTCTCCACTCTCCCTTCCATTCTTCCATGTCTTTTTCTTCCTTCCTTTCCTTGCTTCCCTCCTTTTTCCTCCCCCTTCCTCTCTCTTTCTCCTTCCTTCCATCTCTTTTCCTTCCCTTCTTCCTTCCTTCCCTTCCATTCTCCCATGTCTTTTTCTTCCACCTTTCCTTCCCTCCTTTTTTCTCCCCCTTCCTCTCTCTTTCTCCTTCCTTCCATCTTTTTTCCTTCCCTTCTTCCTTCCTTCCCTTCCCTTCTCCATCCCTCCCTCTCCTTTCTCCTTTTTTTCTTCACTTTTACTCTCTCTGCCGATATTTTAACATTCAGGGATCCCGGGAAAAGAAAGGGGAATCCGCTTTTGTGGCATTTGAATACGGTAGCGATAATGATTTTCCCAGGAAGCCGAAAACTTAAGTTTTATTGGATCCTTTCTGGTGAAGTAGCAGAGAGATGTCCAACCAAAAATAAATAAATAAAATAAAAATGAATTTTCATGTCCAATTCAGAGGATGCTCATGGAGGGCTCCCCCTAGTGGGAGAAGGTGAAACCGCACCTGGTGTTAAAACTTCTGGCAGGAGAAACAGACAGGGCTGGTATCAGTTCGTAGCCAGCTGGTTTCAGAGTTTTCCAGCGTTTAAAAACGGATATTTTTAAAACCTCAGAGGCCCCGTTTGGCCATTTTTCTCCAAGAGCGTGCTTCTTAAAGCCCAACCTCAGCCAGGGTGTTTTTCCTTTCCTTTGTGGTACTTCAAGGCTGGGCTTGAAAAATCGATTTTTTTTTCCTCTCCGAAATAAAAAAAGCCCTTCATTCAAATAATTCAAGAAAATGTTTTTCTGGTGATGTCAATGCCCCTAAAAAGAAAGAACACAAAATTTAGCCTATCGAGAGTCCCAATTTTTTTTTTTTTTTTTTAATCCTCTTGCTCGGGGAAACTATTCAACCTTTTTTCCTTTGGAAGATGTCAAATTTAAGAATTTAAGAACGGCAGTGGGAAGACTTCCAGACGGGGGGTTGTGTAAATGACCTCTTAGGTTCCCTTTCCAACTCTGTTCTTCACAAAAATGCTGGATGTAAACGTGACTCTCTTTGCAACTGACTCCCCTATTTTTTTCCCCTTCCCTAGTCATTGACCTCCTGACCGTCACCGAACCTCGACATATGACCAACATTGCGAACAAAATCCGGACGGAGGTTTTATCTGTCCATGATATGTATCTTTTATCGACTTTTCACCTGCCCCCCAAACAAGGTGGGGCCCTGTTTGGCCTTTACTACAAGAAGGATAATAGCCGATGGTTTGAAGTCTCCGTGGTTGGCAAGACGAATAAAGGTGAGTGAGAAAGAAAGAAAGAAAGAAAGAAAGAAAGAAAGAAAGAAAGAAAGAAAGAAAGAAAGAAAGGAAGGAAGGAAGGAAGGAAGGAAGGAAGGAAGGAAGGAAGATGAAGGAAAGATGAAGGAAAGAAAAAAAGATGAAGGAAAGGAAGATAGGAAGGAAGGAAGGATGAAAGGAAGAGAAAGAAAAGAGGAATGAGGATGGGAGGAAGAAAGGAAGGAAGACAGAAAGAAAGAGAAAGGAAGGATGAGAGGAGGAGAAAAGAAAGGGAGGAAGGAGGAAGGAAGAAAAAGACATGGAAGAATGGAAGGGAGAGGGGAGAAAAGGAAGGAAAGAAAAGAGAGAAAGAAGGAAGGAAAGAAAGGAAGGAGGGAAGGAAGGAAGGAAGAAAAGAAGTCAATTGGCTTTACTAAAATCTTGATTTTCATTTTTTTACTGTTTTACCCCTTTATTGGTTTATGTGCTTTGAGACAGTAAAAGACAGGGCCGCCCTATCAATCAAATTAATAGTCCTTGACTTACGACCACAGTTGAGCCCCCAATTTCCATGGCTCAGCAAAGTAGTCCTCGTCTTATGACTGCCATTGAGCCCATGATTTCTGTGGCTAAGCAAAACATTTGGTTAAGGGAGCCTTTCCCCCTTTTACGACCTTTCTTGCCACAGCTGTTAAGCGAATCCCTGCCATTCTTAACTTAGCCCCACGGTCGTTAAGTGAATCTGGCTTCCCCATTGACTTGGCTCATCCGAAGGTCGCAAAAGAAATCACGTGAGCCCCGCAACCGTCATAAATCAGTTGCCAAGTGTCTAAATTTTGATCCCGTGACCACGGGGATGTTCCAACTGTCGTAAATGTGAAAAATGTTCCTAAGTCTCTTTTTCCAGTGCCATCGTCACTTTGGTCACTAAATGAATGGTTGTAAGTCGAAGACTACCTGTAATAATGGAAAGGGGCCACTTCAAAGGAAATGCACCGAAAAGTGGGAGAGAATTCCCACCTGCAATCCAGTCTCCTCTCTCTCCCCGCGCACAGTTCTCATCAGATACTTACGTGCCGATGGGAAACTCCACTCGGTCAACCTGCAGAATTCCAACCTGTCGGATGGACGTAGCCACACGCTTCTCCTGCGGGTCAGCGGCCTGAAGGCCAGCAGCCTGTCCTTGGAGCTGTATGTGGATTGCAAGCTGCTGGACTCTCATACGGGGCTGCCCGAAATGGCATCGATTGACCAGGAAAAACCCGAAGCCGTCGAAGTGAGAACTGGACAGAAAACGTATCTTCGGATGCAGGTGAGAACACACCCTATCCTCTTACCACATTCGGTGCAGTCGAGCGTATAAATCCAGGCAGGGGGGAAAAAAGGATAAGTTCAACATCTCCGCGGTGAAAATCCAGTTCTTTGTAGAGGAAACTTCTATTTTACCAGGATTTTTTTCCCCCCCAATCAAGCGTGCAGGCAGTGGGGAAAAGCACAAGCAGGATAGGTGTCTTTCCACCGATGGCTGTCCTTCCTCTCCTGATATTTTAGGGGTCTCTGGAATCGCTCAAACTGATCCTCGGAGGGTCCCTCAGCCGCGTGGGAGCCTTGAGCGAATGTCCGTTTCAAGAGGACGAATCCATGCAGAACACGGGTAAGGGTCAATCCAAAAAAAAGAATCCCTCCTTGGGGTAGGATTTTCAAAAACCAGCAGGGCACTTAGTTTTCAATCAATCAATCAATCAATCAATCAATCAATCAATCAATCAATCAATCAGAATAGAGCTGGAAGGGACTTTGGAGGTCTTCTAGTCCAACCCCCTGTTTAAGTAGGAGATCCTATCCCGTTTCAGACAAGTGGTTGTTCAGTCTTTTCTTAAAAACCTCCAGTGATGGAGCACCCACAACTTCTGGTGGCAAGTAGTTCCACTGATGAATTGTCCTAACTGTTAGGAAGTTTCTCCTTAATTCCAGGTTGCTTCTCTCCTTGATGAGTTTCCAGCCATTGCTTCTTGTCCTGCCTTCAGGGGTTTGGGAGAATAGGTGGACCCCCTCCTATTTGGGGGAGCCCCTCAAATATTGGAAGGCTGCTATCATGTCATCGCTACTCCTTCTTTTCATGAAACTACACATCCCCAATTCCTGCCACCGTTCTTCGAATGTTTTATCCTCCAGTCCCCTAATAATCTTTGTTGCTCTTCTCTGCACTCTTCCCAGAGTTGCAACTTCTTTTTCAGTGATTGAATGACCTCTGTAGATGCCATATGCTAAATATATAGATAGATGATAGATAGATATAGATAGATAGATAGATAGATAGATAGATAGATAGATAGATAGATAGATAGAAAGATAGAAAGATAGATAGAGATATAGATGAGACAGAGAGAGAGAGAAAGAAAAGAAAGAAAGAAAAAAGGAAGGAAGAGGAAGGAAGGAAGGAAAGAAGGAAGAAAAAGAAAGAAAGAAAGAAAGAAAGAAAGAAAGAAAGAAAGAAAGAAAGAAAGAAAGAAAGAAAACTGAGTAGAGGCCCAGACTTCTAACGGGGTCCGATTTTTGGCAAGTTGTTTGATTCTTTGAAAACTTGCTCTCATGTTTTTTATCGTCTTCCATCGCTTTCTCTCTCTCTCTCTTTTTTTCTTTTTCAGTATCCAACGTGATTAATTCTCTCTTTGGTGAGTTCAAATCAGAGCCGGCTGTTGCTTAATTCCTTCCTCCCAGAGAGCACTTTGGAGTGCTGGGTTTAGCATGGCGGAAACCACCACTCCCGAGCTATGGGGAAGTGGTAAGACAGAAGGGGTCTTGAGCTAGGTAAGAATGTGTTCAAAAAGCAGAATTAACAAGTGGCGATTGTTGTTTTTTGTTGCATCTTGTGTGACAGGTGAGCAGACGAAGGCTCTTGTTCGGCAACTGACGCTTTTCAACCAAATTCTGATGGAACTCCAAGAGGACGTGAGAGATCAGGTACAATTGGAGGGTTAAGAAGAATGACACAAGGGGCCCTTGACTTACGACCACAAAACGAGCCCCAAAGGTCTGTTATTAAGCAAGACACTTCTGAAGTCGGTTTTGCCCTTTTTACGACCTTCCCTGTCCCAGGCGTTAAGTGAATGGCCGCCGTTGTTGAGTTAGGAACCCGGTTGTTAAGCGAATCTGGCTTCCCCGTTGACTCGACTCGTCAGCAGGTCACAAAAGGGGATCACATCTCTCTCTCTCTCTCTCTCTCTCTCTCTCTCTCTCTCTCTCACACACACACACACACACACACACACACACACACACACATACAGGGACACTGCGACCGTCATAAATATGAACCAGTTGCCCAGCCTCTGAATTTTGATCATGTGACCACGGAGACGCTGCAACGGTTGTGAGAAACGGTCCTAAGTCCCTTTTTTTTTCCAGGGCCGTTGTCCCTTCGAACGGTCACTAAGTGGAACGGTTGTAAGTCAGGGTGTCAACTCTGAAGCTGGCCTGACTGAGGCCATCTTTGAGGCTTCGGTGTTGCCACAATGGAGATGAGGGCTAGGGAGGAGGGAATAGAGATGGCTGGGGTTTTGTAGCCAAAACAAAATATTTTCCCCTGGGAACCAAGGACATTCTCGCACCTGGTTGGAGAGAGGAGGAGCAATGTTACCAAGCAACCAGACTGCACCTTGATTGGACTATGTGACTGTTTGTTTGGGGCTCCATGTGTGTGTGTGTGTACGTTCGAGCATAACTCTGGAACGCCTTGAGCAATTTCAACCAAATTTGGTACACAGATGAGTTACTCTCTGGAAAGAAATATTGTGGGGGTAAGACACCCCTAACACCCCTCAGTGTGTGGGTGTGTGTCTCTGTGTGTGTTCCAACATAACTCTGGAATGCCTGGGCCGCTGAAATGAAAAGGAATGAATTATATCTATAGTGTCAAATCACAGTACTTTTGACAGCGATAGTGTGCCTTTTGGATTCAAGTTCTGTTAAGATACAGTCTGTTGTGCCTTAAAATGGCTTCTACTGTACAGCACAGTAGAGTTGCCATGGTAACGGCTTCACGGTACTCCACAAGGGGGCTCCCTCTGGTATACCCGGGCAACATCGGGTTATCAGCTAGTATCCAAATTCTGGTTAAATGGGGGCTTAGCGCAAACCAGCATCTTCCTTTCTGGACATCTCTAACAGCTTGTGAGAATCCCTATTACTTTTTATGAGTGAGGATTAGGGTTTGATATATATATATATATACATATTATATACATATATACTGTATATATATATATTTATATTTTTCCTTTCCAGGTCAAGGAAATGTCTTTAATACGGAACACCATTATGGAATGCCAAGTATGTGGTGAGTTGGACCGAGAGGGTGAGAAGATACGGCGGTCTTCCACCACGGAGGAGAAGTGGATCTTGCTACATTAAATGTCCTTAAAATTCATTTTTCCGTCTCCCTTATAACCGTCCGTTTAATGACCGTTCGTATAGACGATGGTGCCGAAGGAAGGAAGGAAGGGGCTTCATGGCCAACCCTTGAAGTTTGATAAGACTTTCTGAGGAATGGTTAAGGCAGATAATCCTTAATTTAGCAACTGTTCATTTAGTGACTGTCCTGCCTGTTTAGCGACCGACTTTCTGCATGTTAAATATAATAACCGACAGGTTAACAGAGGGCTTCGGAGATTAGTTTTATTCTTGTGGGGATTATCTGTCAATAGCTTTTTTCATATACTAGTAGTCCTCGACTTACAACAGTTCGTTTAGTGGCCGAACAGCACTGGAAAAAGTGACTTAGGACCGTTTTTCACAGATACGACCGTTGTAGCGTCCCTGACCTCATGTGATCAAAATTCAAATGCTTAACAACTGACTCCTATTTATGACAGTCATAGTGTCCCGGCGGGGTAGGAGTGATGCGGTGGCCTAGAGGTGGAGCTCTCATCTCACAATCAGGAGGCTGTGAGTTCAATCCTAGGTAGAGGCAGATATTTCTCTCTCTGGGCACAATGAGAATATTATCTGCTGAACAAAACTCCGCTCTGGCAACAGGAAAGGCATCCGGCCATTCAAACACTCCGCTAGCTCCATTCAGTTGCCCAGACTCCACCCCGCAAGAGAATTCATGGGGTTGTTAAATGATGATGATGACAGTGTCCCGGGAAGGGGTCATGTTTTTCGACTTTCTGACGAGCAAAGTCAGTGGGGGAGCCTGATTCGCTTAACAACCATGGCAAGAAAGTTCGTAAAATGGAGGAAAGCTCACTTAACAATTGTCTCGCTTTAGCAAGAGAGATTTTGAGCTCAAATTGTGGTCGTAAATCGAGGACTACCTATAAAGGAAAAAGCTTGGGAAGCCGTGGCTTTTTGATAACTAGAACCTTGTCAGATCGTTGTCTCTACCATTCGGGTTATTATTCCAACCTGTGACGACTTGAAACCTCCCTTCCATTAGGGTTTCACGAACACCGGTCCCGTTGCAACCCGAACCCATGTTTCCCCGGAGTTGACTGCATGGAGACCTACGAATATCCGGGGTACCGTTGTGGGCCCTGTCCTCCTGGTTTTGAAGGCAACGGCACCCACTGCGCTGATATCAACGAGGTAAAAAGATTTTTGGCTCCTATGATTCGGTCTCAAAATCTCTTTTGATTTCAGATGAAAACAAATCTTCGCACCATCCGGGGGAAACCATCCTGTTGTTATATATAAATTGAACGCGCAGAAAGTCCACAAACGGTTTCCGATCTCTTCTAAACTTCTTTAATCCATTGCCTCTACTCAACGCCGTTAATTTTGCAAAGCGCCATTCTACAGTTCTGCCAATTACAGTACTACGTATATGTTCTGACTTAGGCATTCCCAAACCACGAAGCGGACTCCTGGTCCCGACAAAAATAACCCTTTTTATGAAGTGACTGTGAATTCCTCTCATTCACATCCAGCAAAGTCTTTCAAGGGTGAATTTCCAGTCACAGGCCTTTATCTGGCTTGGAGAGCTGCTAGGCCCGATATCTTCAAAACTTGGCAAGGAGTCTCCGAGAGTCACGAACCAATTAAGCAAACTAATTGCCTCCTGCAAACTCCACTCCCCTTTCGCTCCTCTTTTATTCCCTCTGGGAGGGGCCATTCACCGTCCACCTGTGGCCTTACTCCTGAGTCGACCCTTGTTCCTTAGCCATTCCCTTCGTCTGGCAACTCTGTGCATGTATACACTAGGAACAGGCTCCAGCTGTTCTTCTCCCTCATTGATGTCTGACTCCGAAGGCAGCTGACAACTGTCAAGACGGCCCTGGCCCCCTCTCTGCCTCTGACGCAGAGCCCTCCCCAGGCTCCAGGACTGGCCCAGGTTCCTCCCCAACCTCTTCACTGTCCGAATCTGCTACCAGATCCGCTGGCAGAACAGTATATTAAAGTACATGTAGATAGGTACACCTCATTCTTTTTTAATGTTTTTGGCCTGATTGCAGTGTTTGTTTGCGAACCCGTGTTTTGCCGGCTCCAAGTGCCTCAATATCGCGCCCGGGTTTCGTTGCGAGCCGTGTCCGCCCGGCTACAAAGGAAATCTCGTCACAGGAGTTGGGGCCGATTACGCCAAAGCCAGCAAACAGGTAAGTAACTTAAATTCCACCTTGTGTTTTTTCCTATTCCGACTCAAACCACAGCCCTTTGAGGTAGGACAGATTAAAAAAAAAAAAGAAGCCGTGGAAATTCCAGAACGTTCCTTTTCTGTAAGGTAGAATAACAGAAGCTTAAAATATTTCTGGTTTTTCTGTCTATTTTATTTTGTTCTCGGTCTTACACAGGTAAATCAATCCTCAACTTAATGACCACAAAACTGAAGGCTGTGGCCGAGTGGGACATTGGTTAAGAGAGCTTTGCCCCATTTTATGACTTTTCTTGCCACCGTTGTTAAGCGCATCGCTGCCGTTGTTAAGTCCGTAACACGGTCATTAAACGAAACTAGCTTCCCCCCCCATTGACTTTGCTTGTCGGAATCACCTGATCCTGGGCTGGGAACCCTGCAACTGTCATAAGTACAAGTCAGTTTCCAAGCATCTAAATTTTCATCAACTGACGACGGGGATGCTGCAGGGGTGAAATGCTCCTGGATCGGACCGGATCGCCCGAACCGGTAGCGATTTTTCCCTGTGGTTCGGCGATCCGGTAGCGATCGCTGCCCGGGTGTCATGAAGTAATGTTTTTTTTACCTTCTGCATATGCTCAGAAGGTGTGCACACGTGGCCCATGCACTTCTGAACCGGTAAGGAAGGTAAGTAGATTTCACCCCTGGGCTGCCTCAACCGTCATAAGTGTGAAAACCGGTCGTAGGTCACTTTTTCCACTGCTGTTGTTAACTTTGAAGTTAGTCACACAGTTGTTAAATGAGTTCAGCTTCCCCCTGGATTTTTTTTTGTCAGGAGATTGCAAAAGGGGAACACAGTGCCGTCGTAACACGAGGATTGCTTGCGTTGTCCGCACCAAGGCTAACTTGACTAACTGATTTCTGTTTACCCCAGATTTGCACGGACGTCGATGAATGCAACGACGGGAACAACGGAGGTTGTGACCCCAATGCGATTTGCACCAACACGGTGGTGAGTAGCTCCATCCAGAAAAAGCAGGAAGGGAGCTTACAAAAATGTGTGGGTCCAGGAAGGAAGAAAATTCCACACAATTCCAATTTCGACCCCAGTCTAATAATATTCAATTCCATGCAGGAAAAAAAAACATTGGAAAATCCCATTTCAAGTGGCTCGTACCAAATCTAAAATGAGAATCAAAGTCTCCGTGTAAACATCGTAATCAGCTAGATTTAAACGCAGGGCCCTTGTGTTTTTCTTTTTTAAAATATTTTTTATTTAATATACATAAAGATTCAGTAAACGGTGTATTGTCTGGGTCTTTTTACATATACATAAGAATAGAGGGACGTGGTGGCTCAGTGGGTAAGATGCTGAGCTTGTCGATCGAAAGGTCGGCAGTTCAGCGGTTCGAATCCCTAGTGCTGCGTAACGGGGTGAGCTCCCGTGACTCCCCCCCACTCACCCCCTTTTTCCCCCTTAGGGGTCTTTCAAATGTGGGCCGTGTAAATCCGGTTTTATGGAGAAGGAGCCCGGCAACTGTACCCCCCAGAAGGCGTGTGAAAGTCCGAGTCACAATCCTTGTGACGTCAACGGATACTGCCTCTTCGAACGCAACGGTGATGTTTCTTGTTCGGTAAGAATTCTCGTATTCTTTCCTGAGGTTCCGGTGTGGAAGAGGCCGGTGGCTAGGTGGGAGGGGAAGGTAGACTGCTCTTAACAATGGAGGCTCTATTTTCGAGCCCTTTGGAGGGTAGGAGGAGATGATGTGTTCCTTCCTCATGTGCGGCCTTTCCCGAGGAAAATCGTTGTGTGATTTCAATCAGCCTCCTGAATAAAAAATCGTTTTGTGATTTCAATTGGCACCCTGAATAAAAATCATGTTTTATTTCAATCGGCACCCTGAATAAAAAATCATTTTGTGATTCCACTCTGCATCCTTAATACAACCATTTTGTGATTTCAGTCGGCCTCCTTAATAAAAATCGTTTTGTGATTTCAATTTGCACCCTGAATAAAAATCATTTTGTGATTTCATTCGGCACCCTTAATAAAAATCATTTTTTATTTCAATTAGCACCCTGAATAAAAATCATGTTTTATTTCAATCAGCACCCTGAATAAAAATCGTTTTGTGATTTCAATCAGCACCCTGAATAAAAATCATTTTGTGATTTCAATCGGCACCCTGAATAAAAATCACTTTGCGATTGTAATCGTCATCCCTAATTAAAAAAATTGTTTTGTGGTTCCAACCTTCATCTTTAATTAAAAAAAAACAACATTTGGTGATTTCAATCGGCCTCCTTAATAAAATGATTTTGCGATTTCTTTCCTTTTTTTTTTCATGTTTTATTTCTTTTATTTATATAACATTCAATTCCCATCAAACAGTGTGTGATCTGGCTACGGTTATTTTTAAACAGTCATAATCCATATACAGTATTTGTTTTAGTATTCATCACCATAATATTAAACATATAATAATATAATAACAATAATAATTTACATCATCCTTCTTTGCGACTAGTGCAACGTGGGTTGGGCCGGCAATGGAAATGTGTGCGGGCGAGACACCGACATCGACGGTTATCCAGACGAGCCGTTGCCCTGCATCGACAATCACAAACATTGTTCACAGGTAAAACAGGAAACGGTGGCTCAGTGGCTAAGACGTTGAGCTTGTCGATCGAAAGGTCGGCAGTTCAGCGGTTCGAATCCCTCGCGTCGCGTAACGGGGGTGAGCTCCCGTGACTTGTCCCGGCTTCTGCCAACCTAGCAGTTCGAAAGCACGTTAAAAAAAAATGCAAGTAGAAAAATAGGTACCATCTTTGGTGGGAAGGGAACAGCGTTTTCCGTGCGCCTTTGACGTTGAGTCATGCCGGCCACATGACCACGGAGACGTCTTCGGACAGCGCTGGCTCTTCGGCTTTGAAACGGAGATGAGCACCGCCCCCTAGAGTCGGGAACGACTAGCACATATGTGCGAGGGGAACCTTTACCTTTACCTTAAGACAAGAAGCAACGGATGGAAACTAAATCAAAGAGAGAAGCAAGCTAGAACTAAGGAGGAATTTCCCGATAATTAGAACAATTTAGCCAGCGGGACGACTTGCCTCCAGAAGTTGTGGGTGCTTCAATCATGGGAGGTTTTTAAGAATTAAGGAGAGTGATTTTGTCTGAAATGGTTTCCTGCTTGAGCAGAGGGCTGGACTACAAGACCTCCGAGGTCCCTCCCAGCTCTATTCTGATTCATTGATTTCAGCACCTTGGATAACACCTCTACGCTTATTATTCTGTTATTTTAAACAATATACTTCAAAGGCTGGTTAATATTTTGTCCCATATTTTTTTCTTTTTTTAGGACAACTGCCGGTTGACCCCTAACTCAGGACAGGAAGATGCAGATAATGACGGCATTGGTGATCAGTGCGATGATGACGCCGACGGTGACGGGATCAAGAATGTGGAGGTAACGCCAAAATTCAATGTCGGAGAGCAACCCCATGTACTGGATGGGCAGCTGTCAAGCCAGCCCCACCTCATCCACAGAGAGCTGGCTGGATATTTTTAGGCTTCTCAGACCCCCATAGAAAATAAAATGGGTTGGGGGACTGCGGATTTGTGGGGTGGGGGGTTTGGAAAGACGTTCCCCTGATTCTTGGCACACAAGGTAAAGGATTTGGGGCATAGATTGGTTTTAAGGCACGTACGGTGTAGGGTAGAATTGCCCCTTTGCCTTCTGAGAAATAGAGTTCGGTGTATCCTAAGGGGCTCTATCTTTGTCAACTTTAAGACTTACGGACTTCAACTCCCAGAATTCCCCAGCCAGGTCTCCAACCTTGGTAGCTTTAAGTCCTGTGGACTTCAACTCCCAGAATTCCCCAGCCAGGTCTCCAACCTTGGTAGCTTTAAGTTCTGTGGACTTCAACTCCCAGAATTCCCCAGGCAAGTCTCCAACCTTGGCATTTTAACACTTATGGACTTCAACTCCCAGAATTCCCCAACCTGGTTTCCAGCCTTGCCAGCTTTAAGTCCTGTGGACTTCAACTCCCAGAATCCCCCAGCCAGGTCTCCAACCTTGGTAGCTTTAAGTCCTGTGGACTTCAACTCCCAGAATTCCACCACCACCATGGCTGACTGGGGAATTCTGGGAGTTGAAGTCCACAAGTCTTAAAGTAAGCCAAAGTTGGAGAATCCTGGCCTACCCCATCCTGGCCAGCCCACCATCTACACAGCAGCCATCACTCACAAACATTGTCAAGTTCCTCTGATTTCAAGAGGGCAAAATCCAGGAATGATACAACGGCCGACGTTAAATGAGACTGTGAGACACGCACCCCTGTCTTATTCTACACAGGATAATTGTCGTCTCCTCCCCAACAAAGACCAGCAAAACTCGGATACCGATTCGTTCGGGGATGCTTGTGACAATTGCCCCAATGTTCCGAACAACGATCAAAAGGACACCGACCACAACGGGGAAGGGGATGCGTGCGACAATGACATTGATGGGGATGGTAAGACCATCGACGTCCAACAGCTCGAGGGAAGGGTTGATCCCGTAGCCATCCAAGGATTTAATCTTCCGTTGAGGGGGTCTTTGGTGTTCTCTGAGCTTGGTTGAGAGAGCAAATCCCTCCTTCTCCTAGTACTGATGACATTATCTAGTCTGGTCATGAAATGTTTACAAGGAAATAACCATGCTTTCGGCCGGTCTAGGCCAAGCCGTGCGACACACAAAAAGCCAGAACGGTTTTCAGCCAAATAAACAGAGCTTTATTGCTACCATAAGCCCAGACCAAGCAACTACATGTAGTACAAAGTCAGCGCTGGGAGCTTCCGCCTCCCAGTGCCTTTTAAGGCCCTTAGCTAACCACCATCCGGTGCTCCCACCATCCTCCCGCTGTTCAGTGGCGTTTGGCGTTCGGCATCATTTTCAAATGACCCGCCTGGCGCAGCTTCACTGACGTGTCGGGCCGCCGTGACGTCATCTGCCGTCACCCATGCACCACCAGGAACCGGAAGCTTCTGTGTGATTGCCCACCTATCACCAGCCACCTAGTCCGTCATCCTTCGGTCCCGAGCGGAGTCGCCAGCTGCTCTGCCCGCTCCCCCCCACAGAAATGTCGAGCTCCGGACTGGGGTTCGACACATGCTCAGAGAACACCAAGGATCCCACAGTGCTCCTCCTCCTCCTCTGCCGCCGTCACCAGAAACCCCACTCCCTACTAGCACTGATGACGTTACTTAGTTGGGCAAAGAAACATTTTCAAGGAAACCACCAAACTCTGAGAGCACCAGGGAGCCCCTAGTACTTCTCCAAAGTCACTTTTTTTCAGTGCCATTGTAACATTGGTCACTAAATGAATGGTTGTAAGTCAAGGGGTGCGCCCAAATAAACTTGATGTCAGGATTCGGTGTCGTCTCAAATAAATTGCATTTCAAACAAATAGTCCTTGATCAAAACCTTTCATTTATTAAGCACGACCATCGGAACTCCGACTCAGCTGCAGCCAACACTGACCTCCTGGTCCAAACCCTCCCCTTCCTTTTCTCACTGCTCTACGTCTCATTGGCCATCTTCCAAGTCACTCTGCTGCTGTCTACTACTTCAGCTCAAAGGAATTTCCCCCCTCCCAACCCATCTCCTAGGGGATAGTATCTCCAGGGAAAATAAGTAGGTGAAAAGTCAAACGTCCTCTTGCCAGATGCCCCCACTTTCTCCTTCTTATGTCAGCGCTGGAATGATTGCAGCTTGGAGTGCTGCCACTTGATTGGTTGATTGATTCAGTTGACCAACCCAACAGACTCTGGGTGGTGTACTAGGCTGGGAAAATGTACTTTCCTTGCAGGAAAATTCAAAAGCTTCAATTTGTAAATTTTCATGGAAGGAAAGTACACGTGTAGAGTTTGCTATGAGCAAGGAGAACGATGTCGAAAAAGACTCGGACACGGGGAAACCGAAGAGGAAGAAGCTTTGCTAACTTTTGTTTTCCGTCTCTAGGGATTCCCAACGGGCTGGACAATTGTCCGAAGGTACCCAACCCACTGCAGACTGACCGTGATGAAGATGGCGTTGGGGACGCTTGCGACAGCTGTCCAGAACTCAGCAATCCAACTCAGGTTTGATCCTCCAGGAAGTTACGAAACGAATTGGGGGGAATTTGGGGTGTTGTAAAATTCCATGAAATCTGGGGATCCTCAAATGCCGTCCCTCTCCCAAATGCTACACCATGCTTGTTCACCTGACATCCCGGTCTCTTTCAGACAGACATGGACAGTGATCTGGTGGGAGACGCTTGTGACACGAATGAGGACAGGTAACGACAAACCAAATTCCGATGCTTGGAAAAAAATGCAAATCCCGTTTTAAAAACAGACTCTCTCCCTTCCAGATGACAAGCTACGATAAAACTAGGTTTGAGGGGGGTGGGTTGTGTCAAGGTTTTGACGGCCTATAAACCAGCATTTGACAGGAAACACAACGTTATCAGAAAAGATGGACGACCAAACATTGTGGCTTGGAAACATTGGAAAGGAACTTGGTGAGGAAAAAGTTAAATGGAGAGAGGATGAATGCTCTCAAGTCTTCATCAAGGCGCATGGGATTTGTAGTCCTAAACCTCTGCAGGACACCAGACTGCTCTTATGACAGAGGTCATAAAAATACCACTGTTTTAGGTATACAGGTGTAACCGCAATTGAACCCAAAATTTCTGTGGCACATTGGTTAAGTGAGTTTTCCCCACACCCATTTTACGACCATTCTTGTCACAGTTGTTCGGTGAATCGTTGTTGTTAAGTTACTAACATAGTGAAATCAATCATGGTCATAAGTCAAGGACTATCTCTCTCTCTCTATATATATATATATATTAAAATATTTTAAAACTGGGTGGAGGAGGCTTGTTGAACTCACGCCGCTTCCCCCTTGTCTGCACCAGAGACGGCGACGGTCACCAAGACTCCAAAGACAACTGTGCGGAAATTCCTAACAGCTCGCAGCTGGATTCAGATAACGACGGGCAAGGCGATGACTGTGATAACGACGATGACAATGACGGGATCCCCGACTACCTGCCTCCTGGGCCCGACAACTGCCGCCTGATTGCTAATCCCAACCAGAAAGACGTTGACGGTAACTGTCTTTGTGGGAAACAGAGATGAGCACCGCTCCCTAGAGTCGGGAACAACTAGCATAAGGGGAACCTTTACCTTTACCTAAATAAATGGGTAACTCGGAGAGAACTCGCCATCTTCGTTTCTTTGTTTGGGCCGAGCAAACTTAGTTTACCTGAGTGACACCTTTGGCGAATGAGTTCACCCGTGTTTTATGGATCTGTGTAGGCAACGGCGTGGGAGACGCCTGCGAGGAGGATTTCGACAACGATACGGTGGCCGATCCGATGGATGTGTGTCCGGAGAGTTCAGAAGTGACATTGACCGACTTCCGGGCTTATCAGACGGTCATCTTGGACCCTGAGGGAGATGCTCAAATCGATCCCAACTGGGTTGTCCTTAACCAGGTACAAGGAGAAGAAAAATGGAAGTTCATTCATCGGGCAACCCATTCTGAAGTTGCTGAGATGTCCACAGAGTTGTAGAGTCTCTTAAAACATGTCTTCCTAATCGTTGAATTTTATTTTCAGGGTATGGAAATTGTCCAAACCATGAACAGCGATCCGGGCTTGGCTGTAGGTAAGCAGACTGATGTTAGCTTGTTTGTTTTGGATTGCATCACGAGGCGCTTTCAGGGTTTAGATCCCCAAAATGTCCTTAGACAATTTGACAAAAGACAATTTGACAAATAGCGACGGTTTTGCAGTTACGACGGCGCTGAACGAGTAACTTTGCAACCGGTCGACCTTCGCAGGTCTATAAAACAGAAGGAAAATCATACACACAGTTGTGGTTTGAATAGTGAATAGTGAAATATTCGGGCAAATAACGGCCAGATTGCTGGTCCCAATTGCCACTAAATGAGGACAGCCTGTAATGCATCCCTTGTTGATTGCGAAAGTGAAACTAAATAACAATTCCAGCTCATCTCTTTCACTCCTGACCCCTGGTCCCAATTGTCACTAAACAAAGACTGCCTGTAACGTGTTCATTGGCCGATTGGGAAAGTGAAAGTAAATAACAATTCCAGCTCATCTCTTTTACTCCTGACCCCTGGTCCCAATTATCACTAAACGAGGACTGCCTGTAACGTGTTCATTGGCCGATTGGGAAAGTGAAAGTAAATAACAATTCCAGCTCCTCCCTTTCATTCCTGACCCCTGGTCCCAATTGTCACTAAACGAGGACTGCCTGTAACGTGTTCATTGGCCAATTGTGAAACTGAAAGTGAAAGTAAATAACAATTCCAGCTCCTCTCTTTCATTCCTGATCCCTGGTCCGAACTGTCACTAAATGAGGACCTCCAATAATGCATTCCTTGGCCAATTGCGAAAGTGAAAGTAAATAACGATTCCAGCTCCTCCCTTTCATTCCTGACCCTTGGGTCCCAACTGTCACTAAACGAGGACTGCCTAAAACACATTCCTTGGCCAATTGTGAATCCGAAAGTGAAAGTAACTAACGATTCCAGCTCTTCTCTTTGGTTCCTGACCCCCCCCCCCAAATGTTTACCCCCCCCTTTCATTCCTGACCCCCTTAACCTTACTCCTGACTCCGTGGGGCAGGATACACGGCATTCAACGGGGTGGATTTTGAAGGCACTTTCCACGTCAACACCGTGACCGATGACGATTACGCCGGCTTTATCTTCGCCTACCAAGACAGCGCCAGTTTTTACGTGGTCATGTGGAAACAAACCGAACAGACCTACTGGCAGGCCACGCCTTTCCGGGCCGTGGCTGAGCCCAGCCTGCAGCTCAAGGTGAGCGACACTGTGACCGTCATAAGTATTGAGTCCTCTGAATTCTGATCACGTGACCGGGGGATGCGGCAACGATCGTAAGTGTGAAAAAGGATCCTACATCACGTTGAATTTACGCATCCTAAATCTGCAAAGGTTGCAAAGATGGGGGAGAAAAAAAATAATGTGTTTTTCTCTCGGCTAAATCGATCCTTCGAATGCAAATATTGTTGGTTTTTCTCGTCCCACCAGGCGGTAAAATCGGAAACGGGGCCCGGTGAATATCTGCGCAATGCCTTGTGGCACACGGGCCACACGCCAGGCCACGTCAAGCTGCTGTGGAAGGACCCTCGCAACGTGGGGTGGAAGGATAAAACCTCGTATCGTTGGCGTCTCTTGCACAGACCCCAAGTGGGGTACATCCGGTGAGAATAATTCTGGTTTTAATTTGCAATTCCTCACTCTATGGCAGCCAGACTGCACGCAGCAATATTCTCCCCCCAAAAAACAGAATAAAAGCATGGTTTTCGTTTAGTGCCCAGCGCAGACAAGGCTAATAGAGTTTTCCAAGCCCACTTAATGGCCAAATATTCCTTCTCCCTCCAGAAAACTCCAATTCATGGTTAAATGTTTCTTCTGCATCCAGAAAACCTCAATTTGTGGTTAAATTTTTCTTATGCATCCTCAAAACCCCAATTCATGGTTAAATGTTTCTTACGCATCCTCAAAACCCCAATTCATGGTTAAATGTTTCTTATGCATCCTCAAAACCCCAATTCATGGTTAAATGTTTCTTTTGCATTCAGAAAACGTCAATTCATGGTTAAATGTTTCTTACGCATCCAGAAAAACCCAATTCATGGCCAAGCATTCCTTTTCCATCCAGAAAACCCCTATTCATAGTTAGATGTTTCTTCAGCATCCTCAAAACCCCAATTCAGGGACAAACATTCCTTTTCCATCCAGAAAACGCCCAATTCACAGCTAAATTGGAGGAAAAAAGGAATAAAGGGAGCCCCAATTCGTAGCCAAATGTTCCTTTTGCATCCAGAAAAACCCCCATTCATGGTTAAATCTTTCTTATGCATCCAGAAAACCCCAATTCGTGGTTAAATGTATCTTTTGCACCCAGAAAACCCCAATTCATGGTTAAATCTTTCTTATGCATCCAGAAAACCCCAATTCGTGGTTAAATGTATCTTTTGCATCCAGAAAACCCCATTCATGGTTAAATCTTTCTTATGCATCCAGAAAACCCCAATTCATGATTAAACGTTCCTTTTACATCTAGGAAACCCCAATTCATAACTAAATGTTCCTTCTGTATCCCAAGAAAAACCCCCAATTCATGATTAAACGTTCCTTTTGCATCCAGAAAACCCCCAATCCATGGCGAAGTCTTATTCGGAGGCAAGCAAACCCAATTAAAATTTACAAAGGCCATAAAACGAGTTTACTTTTTTGTTTGAGAAGCGCGGAGCGGAAAACCAGAGACGCTCTCCCCCGCGCCCCCCCAAAGATATCCCCGCCAGCCACTTCCGAGTTTTCACTTCCAAGTTGGCACCGAACCGGGCTGTGTTCCCTCTTTAACCCCAGGCTGGTCCCACCGTCCACAATTTTTTGGTCTGTGTGTGTGTTTGTGGCGCACGAGAGCCTCTCCGTCTCTCGTTCTCACACCCACCCTTTGCTCTCTTCCCACAAACCCCCCCCCAATCCGCCCCACATCCACAGGGGCCCCCCGAGGCATTGTCTAAGTTGTCATAGCAATCCCATGCGGCCCGGGAATGCGCTAATGCGCTCCGAAGCCGGACAATGCAAGAAAGGTCAAAGCAGGGCAGGCAAACGAGAAAAAAAGGAAGAATGAACAAGGCTGGGAATTTGAACCCCCTCCCCGTGTGGGGGAGAGAGAGAGAGAGAGAGAGAGGGAGGGAGGGGAGAAGGAAGAGGAGTGTTGAATTTCCGACAACGTCCTCCCCCCTCGAGAAAGCGCCCTGCAGAGTGCTTCTCGATGCCCCCTTTTTCCAAAATAAAACGGAATTAAAATTGATCCCAGGCCTGATTTCGAAGTGAAATTAGTAGCCGGATTCAAAATGGTTGGTAGGTTTGATTGAGCAGGCGAGACCCTTGTGGTTTTCTAATCACAATTGATGGACAAACATTCCTTCTGCATCCCCCCCCAAACCTCAATTGATGGCTAATGGTTTATTCTGCATCCAGAAAACCCCAATTAATGACTAAATGTTCCTTCTGCATCCCCCAAACCCCAATTGATGGCTAATGGTTTATTCTGCATCCAGAAAACCCCAATTAATGACTAAATGTTCCTTCTGCATCCCCCAAACCTCAATTGATGGCTAAGGGTTTATTCTGCATCCAGAAAGCCCCAATTAATGACTAAATGTTTCTTCTGCCTCTCCCAAACCCCAATTGATGGCTAAATGTTTCTTCTGCATCCCCAAACCCCAATTGATGGCTAAGTGTTGTTCCTTCTGCATCGGGCGCTCGACAGAAGCATCCTAAGCATTGCCTTCCTTCCCGTTTCTGCTTCTGTCCGTCCCCCGTCCCCCCCCCCGCTCTCTCACCTCCTGCAACCCCCTTCCCAGGGTGCTGCTCTACGAAGGACCCCAGCTTGTAGCCGACTCTGGGGTGGTCATCGACACCACGATGCGGGGAGGGCGCCTGGGCGTCTTCTGTTTTTCTCAAGAGAACATCATTTGGTCCAACCTGCAATATCGGTGCAACGGTGAGCAGTTCGGCGCGAATCAGCCGGGTTTGGAGACCTTCCAGTGGGGGGGGGCTAGATGACCTCGCGGGTCCCTTCCGGCCGTTTTCAATTCCAAGAGCCTCTCTTGAGCCGCGGTTGGGACTGGGTGAACTTGCAAGTCGTCTTCTTCCGTTCTAGGATCCTGTCACGTTAATGGTTTCTCTCACGGGAGAGGGTTGGACTGGATGACCTTTAAGTTCCCTTCCGGCCCTTGCATGCTAGGCTCCTTCCACTGCAACCGTGAGAGATAGGATGGGCACGTCTGGCTTTGGGGCAACAGATCCCAAAATAAGATACAGGTGCCCCTCAACTTACAGACATTCATTTAGTAACCGTTCAAAATGACAACAACACCGGTGAAAGCGACTTACGACCATATTTCACACTTAACGACTGTTGCAACATTCCCCAGGGTCACGTGACCAAGCTCCAGAGGCTTGGCAACCGGTTCGCATTTATGACAATTGCAGCATCCCGGCGGGGTTACGTGATTCCCTTTTGCGACCTTCCTACGAGCCAAGTCAATGGGAAAGCCAAATTCACTTAACGCGTCAGTGAATGATGGGAGCGATTCATTTAACAACGGCATCCAGGAAGGTCGTAAAACGGAGGCGAAACTCCCTGAACAAACGCCCCGCTCAGCCACAGACATTTTGGTTGCGTCCGTTGCGGACGTAAGTCGAGGAGTACCTGTATAACGTCCACAATTAACCAGTGGAACAGTTTGCCACCGGAAGTTGTGGGCTCTCCCATCCCTGGAGGTTTTTAAGAAAGACCCTGGACAGTCCCTTATCTGAAATGTTAGAGGTTCTGCTTGGGGGTTGGACTAGAAGACCTCCAAGGTCCCTCCCGGCTCTATTCTATTCTATTTTCTGCCTCCATCATCAAAATTACTCCATTTTTCTTTCTCTTTCTAGATACGGTCCCCGTCGACTTCGAACCGTACCGGCGGATTTTACTAGAACAACCTTAAAAAACACGAAACGTTGCCCCCCCCAAAGGATTTTGAGGGGGGGGCGGAATCTCTCACCCTCAGGTGATCCACCCGTTTGGCGAGCCATTCAATTCTATGCTGGATCGAATAAAAAAAAAACACCTTCAAATCAGCCGCGCTTTGTGCGTGCTTGCGAAGGGTGCAGAAGTCCCAAAGGCAGCGCACGACACAGCTTTGGGGTTGTTGAGAAATTCGATTTGGGGTTAACAAGATTAATAAGAGTGGGAAGGGATCTTATAGGTCATCTAGTCCAACACCGCTCGAGCACCATTTCTGACAAGTGACAATCTTTTCTTCTTCTTCTTAGCGGCAACAGCCATCCTTCCCTCCAGCTGTGAAATCTTTTTCTTTTTTTAAAAAAAAATATCTGTACCATGTCGTATTTTGGGGACTCGTAAAATAAATGAATTTTTTAATAGGAGAGGTTAAAAAATGGCTTTGGGGCGGCCACGTCGAATAGAAGTTGGGATTTCGAGAGTCTTCCCCAAACTGGTGGTTTTTAAGGGGCGAGGGGTGGGGTTTGAAAAGGGGGCTTCTTCGCAAGACCTCCAAATTTCTAACCTTAAGGTAAAGGTTCCCCACGCACATATGTGCTAGTCGTTCCCGACTCTAGGGGGCGGTGCTCGTCTCCGTTTCAAAGCCGAAGAGCCAGCGCTGTCCGAAGACGTCTCCGTGGTCATGTGGCCGGCATGACTCAACACCGAAGGTGCACGGAACGCAGTTCCCTTCCCACCAAAGGGGGTCCCTGTTTTTTTTAAAAAAGCATTTTTTACCTGCTTTCGAACTGCTAGGTTGGCAGAAGCTGGGACAAGTCACGGGAGCTCACCCCATTACGCAGCGCTTGGGACTCGAACCGCTGAACTGCCGACCTTTCGATCGACAAGCTCAGCATCTTAGCCACTGCGTCCCTTTTAACCTTTAGATACCCCCAAAATATGTTTCCTTGCTGCTTGCAAATCTAATTTTGGGATTTTGGGAGGCTTAAGGAAGTTTTCCTTCTCCAGTTCAAGAATTCAGATCGATAGATTTGAATCGGAAATGTAATTAGGGATCTTATCTGCATTTTGCATCCGGGTTTGGAAGCCATTTTGGATCTGTGAAGAGAACGTGCTACATAATCAAAAATCTCTGAATTTTGCTTGAGGGCCCCCCCTGCTTTCAAATCTAGGGGGTTACAGGCAGTCCTTGACTTACAACAGTTCATTTAGTGACCATTTGAAGTGACAATGGCCCTGAAAAAAATGCAACCCTTTTTCACACTTAATGACCGTTGAAGGATCTCCGTGGTCACGGGATTGATATTTGGATGCTTGATAACTGACTCATATTTATGACGGTTGCAGGCATCCCGGAGTCCCGTGATCGATCCCCCTTTTGCGGGATCTTCTCACAAAGTCATTGCAGAATCCAGATTCACTTAGGAACCAACTTATCGACTGCAGCGACTCATTTAACAACGGCGGCAAGAAAGGCCTGTAAAATACCAAACGACTGTCTCGCTTGAACGACATAAATTTGGGGCTCCGTTGTGGCCGTTTCCACCTGTATGCAAATCGAGGCGAGATCGTTAATTTTGTGAAGTTGCCGCGAAATGAAATTAATTCTTGTCGTTGGCCTGAAACCGACCGATCCCCTTCCGTCAAAGCCACGTGAAGCGGGAAGCCGGATTCGTTTTAACAACCGTGTCGCCGACTTCACGCCTGCAAGTGATTCGCTTAACAACCAGGACAAGAAAGGCCACAAAAATGGGACGAAAACCAAAACAAATCACTAAACCAACATCTCTCTTAGCAGCGTAAATTTTGGGCACAATTGGGGGCCGTAAGTCGAGGACTTCTTGTACAAGCAGAGTGAAACGAGCTGGGGAAACCCCCCCTCCCTTCCCCAATTGAATCCAATTCTGGCTAGTTCTCAGACACAATTTGCTGACCGTCTCCTGATTCTCGGCATCCAGCTGTCCAGCCGTGCAAAAGTCCCACCTGACAGTAGCCTCCAGGTGTGAAGCAGGCCTCTCAGGTGTGTGGGCCGCTGTCAGGTTAGGTGGTGAATCCAGAACAGGGGGAGGCCAGGACAAGTGCAATATTAGCGGCCTGAAAAATCACAACATTGCACTCCGTCCCAACCCTGCCCCGAAGCCGGAAAACCAGAGTCTCGCTCGGGACTCGCTCGGTGCCAACGCCACAACTCTGCAAAGTGAAAAAAAGTTGGCAAAGGTTACCTGCCCTGCTTCAAAACCCACCCCCCCCCCTCTTTCCCCCCACCCATCACCACGAGCTCCCGTCAGATTCCTGAGCTACCCCCGGGTGCCCGGGAGCTGGCAAGTTGGTTCAATAATCCTCCGCTTGAGCAACCACGACGTTGCTGTGGAGATGTGTGTCCCGGCAACGCTCAAGTGAATGCCACGCTCGCAGGCGGCAAGGAGTCTCAGGGAGAGAGGGGGGCGCAGTAGCCCTCTCATTCATGCCAGAAGGCCTACCAGGGGTGGTGCCCACCTCCCCGGGGCCGAGCGGGCGATGGCCAGCGTTGCAAAACAGCTGTTTTGTATGGCATTTGACACCTGTTGCAAAGAAAATCTTCCTCCGCTGTGCCAAAATATAACCCAGGTTTTCTCCTTCTTTGCCACCTAGGAGCAAAGATGGTTGGGAAAGGGGGGGATCATTGCCCCCCTCCACCAGCCCCCCCTGGTTTGTCCCCCCCCCCAAAATAGGGGGCAACCCCAAAGATATGAACTTCCCTGTCTCTTTTTGTAAAGTTGAGGATTGGATCTACTTGCTTTTCGAATTTTGTTGCGTCTTTTTGTTGCGGATTTTGTCGTCTCGTCCAGAAGTGCTGATCCTTTTCTTGACTGGTTTTGGGTTCGAGCCCCGGGTTCCGATCAGGATCCCCTGCCTGGTCTCAAACTCGGAGAAGGGGGAGGCCTGCCGCGTCCCTTGGAGGGCACACTGAAGTTGCTAGGGAAGGCGTGCCCGGCAACAATACCCATGCTTTTGACTCAAGAGTCCATTCAAGCAGAAAACTCTGGCGTTCTTAAAAGGGCAATGCGCAAAGTTCTCCGGGAAGACAATCCAGAGGACTAGCACCGCGCGGAAAGCAGAGTATTGAAAGGCAAGGGGGCCTCTGAGCATGTTGCACGTGTAAATCTGAATGTGCGATTTGCTCTTTTGTGCAAGCTCAGCTCCCCAGATTTTTTTACTTATTTATTTTTTTATTTTTGGCTCCTCTGAGCATCCTCATTACATCTGGGAGGTTCCAAGTTTTGGATTATGTTGGCATGACGTGCGGCGCTCAAGCCATCGAGCCATGTCGCATAAACGGCACAACAACCCTGTGGAGTAGGCTGGTTTAAGAGGAAGGGAGCCTGCACGACTGAGAGAGTGAGCGAGAAGCTGGGTCCTCCCCCCACCCCCCCCAAATTCATCCCTTTCGCTACTTTTTTCTTTTTGTTTATATCTCTCTCGGCGTTGCTGTGTTTTTGCCTGCAAATTCGCGCTGGCATTCTATTTATTCCAATAATAAAGAAACCCGCTGCGGCTGTAGAAATTGAAGGAATTTGTGACTTTAAAATATTAAGGATTAGAAATTGTGGGGATTTTGAGATACACTCCCGGGATTGATTAAATATTGTTAATATCTGGGCGTTATTAGCAATAGCACACATTTGGAATATTGAAGTTACGGTGGAATAATGAATAATTCTTAAACTATTAAATACTGTGTTTCCCCAAAAATAAAACCCTGTCTTATATTTTTTTAACCCCGAAATATGTGCTTGGCCTTATTTTGGGGGAGGTCTTATTATTTTGGGGTGCGTGGAGCAAGATGGGGCTCCTCTTGCCGTTTTACCTGATTTCCAGCTCTGCGTTTAAATATTTTTGAGTAGGGCTTATTTTTGGAGGGAGGCTTATTTCAGTGCATGTGCTCAAAAGCCTGATTGGGCTTATTATCAGGGGATGTCTTATTTTCGGGGAAACAGGGTAATAGTAATTTAATAGAGGATAACAAATACGTGGCGTAAAGAAATGTTACCGATGTTTAAATGAATTAATGGGGGAAAGGATAAAGGATTATGAAGAGAGAATACTATTTTTGAAGTTGGAAGATGAGGATTATACATATTTATTTGTTTAATTATTTATTTATTTAACGATTATTATTGTTAGCCGTTGTTTAAAAAAAGACTTGGCCCAGTCAATACACCGCCCACAAAATAGGTATCGAATTATTATACTAAATTTTTTTAAAAAAATTATACAGTATATACATATATATAAAAAAAGGAATTGCAGGATTTGAAAATACAGATTGCCCTGAAAAAAAAAAAAATTGCTGGCTGGGAATGAACCAGCAGGTGGCATATCAACCCTGCAAAATAGGAATAAAACTGAATATCAAATTGGCATTGGGCAGATCGACAAGAAATTTGGACCCGGATTAAGGAAAATCTTAATTTTATTTTATTTATTTTTTAAAAAACACAAGTCACGTGATCCCCTGATTTCTGAAATTCGAAAGGGGGTTTTAACACTCTGTACCCGCTCAGGAACAGTGTCACCCCTTCGTTTTGTCTCCCCCGTGTCTTCCTTGCAAAGCATATACGAGGGGTTCTCAATTTAGGACCGCAACCGAGCCCAAAATTTCTGTTGTTAAGTGAGAAACTGGTTCAGTACATTTTGCCCCATTTTACCACCTTTCTTGCCGTCGTCGTTAAATGAATCAGGGCAGTTAATAAGTTAATAAGATGGTTGTTGAGCGAATCCAGCTTCCCCTATTGTCAGAAGATGGCAAATGGTTGATCATATGACCCAGGGATACGGCAACCGTCATAAATACGAGTCGGTTGCTAAGCGTTCTTAATTTTGATCACGTGATCCTGGGGATGCTGCAACGGTCATAAGCGTGAAAAACGATCCTAAGTCACTTTTGTTCAGTGCCGTTGTAACTTGGAACGGTCACTAAACGGACCGTTGTAAATTGAAACGACCTGTTAATTTCAACGCAACGCAAATTTTACGGAGCTCCGAAAATTAAGCAGAGAAAGGAGGGGAAGAAGGTTAAGGAGTGTGCCTGATGGGTATTGTAGTGGATTAAAATCCCTAAGCGTGGTTTTTTCGT